TTTAGGTTTAATATTCAACTTACTGAAGTCTTCATTTTTAAACCTGAATTTTCTTACAAATCTCTTGTGTAAATCAAGGATTTTTGTATCAATTAAGTTTGTTTCTACTTGTTATTGATTAGCACTCTAGTAATTCCGGCTCAACAGATTGAATTGCCCTAAACAATTAGGACTATTTGCAAACTGGATAATTAGATTGTCCTGAACGTTTTAGACTGCATTCATAAATTTATCATTCCTGCTTCTCAGGAGGTCTTCAGATGTCTGGCAGGGCAGACAGTGACTGAGCAAGCAATCTTTTTAAGCATGAATTCTTGCAAATCGAATATAAGTTGACTCACAAATGTCAAATTATTATCTTAAATATCTTGATTCTTTTTGTAATCTTAATAGTTTTTTAATCTTTCATCTTAAAAATCTCAAGTCAAAAACCGATACTTACAAAAATGATATCGTAACTATTTGATAATATCCTCTAATATGCCATGTATTCTTTTCCCCATTTTTTTTTTAGTTGCATATGGATACAGTACCTTTATTTATTTATTTATTTATTTATTTTCATTTGGTGCTGAGGATCAAACCCAGTGCCTCCTATGTGCAAGTGCTCCACCACTGAGCCACAGCCCCAGCTCCCCACCATATTCTTTTAAGAGAGAGAAATGCTCAGAGATCAACCCAGTGATCACAGTTGTTATCTAAAACTTAAATATTCATATTTTAATTTATTTTGCCATTGCAAAACTCTTCCCAAGGTTTCAGATTATATGTTTCCACTAAGGAAACATTCAGATTCCAGAATGACTGTTCCAGAGTCCTGGTAGAATCCCCTGATTCTTTCTGCTGGGTCATTGGGGTTCCCCCCGGGCCTCTTCCCTGGAATTTCAATTCATCACAAAGTAAACACACAGCCTCTGGGTTTCTTACCTCTTTCAACATCTATTACCTATCAACCAATTTGGACCTATGGACTCTTGTGTGTCACCCCTGGTTATATYTGATGCCCTTTACTGCCTGATTGGTTCAATGATGTCCTTCCTACTTGAATGATTTCTGCATGGTTTCCACAWTTTTCCTCTCAGCTATATATCTCGAGTTATTTCACAAACAAATATCAATTACCCATTAGGAAGCCTGCGTATACCAAATGACAAACCTYAGCCAGCTAGTTTTGAGTAAAAGAAGAGAATTTATTACTTCCAACATTTGGGCCTTCTAGGAATGCTTCAGGTGTGGCTGGAGTTGAAGCCATGTCAAAGGGATACTTTTATCCCTCTCAACTCTGCGTCCCTCCCCTTTGTGCCAGCTTCTTCTTAAGCAGGTAAAAATGAAGCAGCCACTGGCAGCTCAGGGTTTCATGTATATTTTTGCATTTTTCGTTCTCCTTAGCATCTCTCCTGTGGTCCTGTGAATTTGGGAAGCACTACCTTAAGCAGAGCTGCAGAGCTCATTATTGGACTTCATAGCTGCCAAGATGTCACGTACCCTCTGAATGTCAAAGAGAGTATGGAAGAGGCAGCAGCACACTGCCCTCCATCCCTGCTCTAGCAACTCCTAAGACTAATTTTCCTTAGAACTTTCAGGACTCATTGACCTAATCTGGGTGGCTCCTGACCATGTGTACTTTGGATTTGGGGGGAAGCTCCAGAGGTAAAGGAGCCATTRCTGGTTTTCCATGTGTGGGGACAAGGCTTGGGTTCTAACACACTGACAGCTCTGGGGAATGTCAGGCCACCGTTGCTGGTCATGGGCTTCTCCAGGCCCCTCGTCCTTATCTTGAGTTTCCCCCTCCCTCTGGTCCCATTATTCCATCACTGCCTTTCCCTCTGCGGGCCCAGCCCGGTCACAGGGATACCCTGTAACTCAGGGTTCACCTTCCAATGTTCCAGGCACTGATGTGGGAAGGATGTGTGTGYGTCAAGTGCCACATGCCCCTCTGGAATAGTATATCAGTGTTGAAAGGCCACAGTGGGGGGAGGAACGGGTACAATTTCAAAGCACAAAATCTGGGACTGGGATTCATGGGCATCTGTTACTGACTTCCCTTCCTCCTCCCCCCACCAGCCACACTCCTCTGCTATCAGTCCCCCTTTCTTCTTTATCAGACTATAAGACGTTTTAGATACACTAAATTCCTAACCCAAAAGAGCAGAAGTAATAAAAGACTCATGGGATTTTCTTTTAATCGTGAGAGGAAATTCGAGTCCATTTCCATATGTGACGCTTTTCCCAGCAGAGCCTCATGTGGTCACCAGGCTAGGTGAAACTGAGGCACAGAAGTTGTGACCTGTCAAAGAATTATGTGGGAAGGCAGCTGGGCTCCGAACCCACAGCCGGGGGCGAGTTGGCAACAGAAACTTGCCCTGAGCCTGGGCCACACATGAGCTCAGGAGATGTTCAATCAGCACTTGAGTGCCTCTGGAGGCRGAGAGGACGCTTCCCCCAAGTGAACTTGACATTGCTGCAGCGCCTTCCTGACCCTTCTCACAGCCTCAGTTTCCTCATCCTTTACAAGGGTGGTAGGCGCCTGTGCTCCACCGGTGACTGCTGTCGTAGTGAAAGGCCGAAGGATACAGACTAGAAGGAACATGTGTTCTGAAACCGGGCAGTTTTGCCCTTTCGGGCATTCCAACCTGGACTGCGTGCCAGTGATCAGCACGCTTGGTCCTTCAGCCTTGAGTTCTTCATTTGTGAAATGGGCAGCATAACACCTACCTCGCAGGCGTGATGGAAGAATTGGAGAAACATAAGAAAGTGTGTGAACCTCCTGGCGGGATGCCTGACGCAGAGTAAGGGCTTCCTAGTTATCCCAGGGCTCCTGAGCATCRTGCATATTGGGAAGGTAGAATAAACCTTCCTTTAACAGCCCTCAGAGCACAGGGAAGCTACTGAAAACAGCAGGGACCCTTTAGGAACTCAGAAGGCCCCAGGGGGAGAATCTGAACCAGCATGGAAAGCCAGGCAAAAGAAGAGAATTACCTGATGGAAGTTTGCGGGACCCTGGGGCCCTTGCAGATTCGCCTTCACAAGTAACTCTGCTCCCCTCGAGCCCTCCCCYTCCCCGCCTCATCCTGCCACTTGGGAATCATCTTCATGTCTTTCTTTTGCGTCTCTGTGGAATCCTCCAGATTGGCTCTTAGAAGCCAAATGACAATGTCCAAGAGAAAGGTGGTGAAAGCAGTTTTCACCAAGCTGGGCAGAGCTCAGGATGTGGAAGTAGGCGTCTTAGAAGCTGGTAGGATGGACTAAGTTTCACGCCTGTGTTTGTACACAGGGCCCCTGGCTTTCAAAAACCTCAGCTGCCCAGCATTTCCCTGGCTTCATGCAGCCCCTTTGCCTGGCCTTCAGCAAGACTCGCTGTGAAGGCCAAGAGGTAGAATAACGTGGTTAAGTCATTGCTTTGCCATCAGACCTGCCATTCCTGGCAAGTGGCCTTGGACCAGTGTTCCTGGCCTCCCAAGTATCAACTTCCTCCTGGGGAAGGGCGCCAAGTCATGATGCTATGTACCGAGGATTGACATAGTGGAAAGTGTCTGGCGTCACAGTAAGGAGACTGGCTCAGGAGTCTGAATGGCTGGATCCCCGGGGCTCCTGCTGGCTAGCTGTCTGACCTTGTGCAGGGTGTCTTGCTTTTCTAAGTCGGTTTCTCCACCGGTACAATAGAAAAACAATAATACCTATCTCTTGCTACTGGATCAACTAAAGCAGGGTCATATTGATGTCAGAAGCTCACTCCTATGAGTTTCAGTCAGCAACTATTTATTGGGCACCTGCTGTATACCTGCCACTTCTCAAATAASAAAATACAACTGAGTGGGATGGTGGGCTTGATGAGTAACAGTGTGTGTCTCTGAGGAAGTAGCACTTCAGCTGGGATCTAAAAGAAAGGTAGAAAGGGACCAGTGTCCAGGAAATGGGACAACCAATGCAAAGCCCTGAAGAAAAGAACAGCCTTGACTTAGAAGGGACAAACTCCTGTGATCAGAGCCCTCGAGTGCACACTAGAGAGGGGACGGAGAGACATAAAGACTAGAGAAGGCCAAGGCAGGGGCCCTTGAGGCCACTGTAGGAGTTTGGACATTAGGTACCTGAGAGGCAATTCTGGGATCTGATTGACTCTCCAGAAGGCCACTCTGGTTGCCAGACAGAGAATGGATTGTGAGGAAGCAGAAGTAGAACACAGGCCCAACAGCCTGTTTTCAGTAACCTAAGCAGAGCTGACAGCACCCTTGACTGCAAGGCAACAGGGTACAGAGAGCTGCATGCATTTGGATGTATTTTACAAAGAGAGGTGACAGGATCTGATGCTAGGTTAAATGTGCTGATGGTATTGGGAGATGGGGAGACAATAAGAAGGGGGAAAAAAAGAGTCAAGAATCATCCCTAGATTAGACTTGAGCAGCTGGGGGATGAATTGAGGGTTGAGAAATGAAAAATTCTACTTTAGACATATTCTGGGACACTGTTAGAATCACAGCTTATAATAGAATGGACAGGTCTCGGTTGAGAATTGCCACTTTCCTTCCTTGGCATTTTGTTCCAGGAGTAGAGTCCAGAAAATTCACATGGCAGCGTCTCTGCCCGCTCTAACCTCTGGGGAGAGGGGCGCATGATGGGTCTTTGCCTGCACATTTGCAGCTTTAGTCCCTAAATGCGCTGCTTCTACTCTGCCACTAGGCCTGGGGGAGAGCAGTTGACTCGTTTGAACTTCCKGAGGTGAAGGGGAGGGTGGGGGCGTGGGCAGCATCCTTGGTCTCCTCTCCTCATGGAAGCACCCACACTTTGGGGCAGGTATGTATCAGCCAGCTCACCCAGGTGTCAATTCAAAAGCAAAGGATGGAAGGTACCTTTGGAGATGAGTCACATCCGAGGCAAAAGAGCTTAGTCTGAGACATTGTGACATAGGCTGGGCCTCTTCCCGGAAGGTGAACATTAGTCTGCGCCAGCCTGGGTGGGAGCAGTGTGAGGCTTTGGTGCTCAGGTTGTCTTTATCTTGGCAGCTGGGATGACAGCAGCTCCGTCAGCAGCGGCATCAGCGACACCATAGACAACCTCAGCACCGATGATATCAACACCAGCTCCTCCATCAGCTCCTATGCCAACACACCAGCCTCCTCTCGGAAAAACCTGGATGTACAGGTAAGGAGTATGGTGGCCTCCACCTGTAAGGAAAGGGCGAGGCAATGGGGCCRTGGAAACTGGGTCGGAGGCCTCACCACCCCCTGTGGCCTTGGGAGATCACATTTACTCCCTTGACATTCTATTTATAAAAACAAACAAAATGATGTTGGGCTCTGTTGGCAGATCTTAGCCTGTCCCCTCTTTGCCACAAGGAGCGACTGCTGTCCACAGGTGTCCCATYGCTCAGGAGTGATGTGGGCAGAAACACATACTGAGGACCCTGGGCCTCAGTTTTTTCTGGGCTGAGGTTGGGAACACTCCATCTGTGGTTCATGTCCCCTGCTCATGTCCTTCATTTGGCCTACAGTATTGTTATTCTTTTAGACAAGACTCCACATCAGGTTATTTTAAACTGCAGTTGTTAAACATGAAAGTACGTCTCAGGTTCSTCTTAAAGAACTAGAAGCTAGCTGGGCGCGATGGCACCCACTTGTAATCCCAGCAGCTCATGAAGCTAAGTCAGGGGGATCGTGAGTTCAAAGCCAGTCTTAGAAATAAGTGAAGCACTAAATAACTTGGTGAGACCTGCCTCTAAATAAAATATAAAATAGGGCTGAGGATGTGGCTCAGCACCCCTGATGTGGTTGAGGATGTGGTTGAGCACCCCTGAGTTCAATCACCGGTACCAAAAAAAAAAAAAAGAAGGTATTGTTCCTTGTGGCAACAATTAAYAGGTGTCCAAGTGTCTGTCCCCACTCTTTTAACTAATGCTACAGCTGCCACCAACCAGCTGCACAAATTTAACATGTCCTCCTGCCCCTGAGGCAACCCCTACTTGAAACGCCCAGATGTTTTTCAAATGGAGTGCCAATTCACATGGCACTACATGGGCCCGGTGGCATCCTTGGCATCCTTGTCGTGGCTGGTTCCAGTGAACCCATTTACTAGTTGGGAAAATTAAGTGCTGACTTCCCGGCTTGTCCCCAAGTTGGGGCTGACCAGTATGAGGACTGTTCRGCCATGGGTCATAGGTGAAGCTCTTTGACGATTGGGTCCTCTTCAGTAGAGGGAACTTCTGTGTTGGGTGAACCCTGGGGAAGTCTGATTGGGACAGACTCCCTGAGGGACCCCATCCCTCATCCTCCACTCCCCTCCTTCCCCATCTTCCTTTCTCCGCTACTTTTTACTCTGTTCAGATAGAGGCTGCAWCTTTTTGCTTTCAAAGGTATCTCCTCTTTGTGGGTAGGTGTAGTGAAAGAACATGTCAGTGCGGGGGGTGATTCTGGCCTCCAGAGACAGATGCTAACTGCATAATGAAATGTACTAGGTGCTGCTTTYAGAATTGCCTGTTACTCTTGTGTTGTCACTTTAGCAACTTCTAGGRGGGAGCAATGGTAGGCTATGGTGGTAGTATTTTTTAAAATTACTACCCAGAGGATGAAATGGGGGCATCGGGTTTTGATGGAGTTGTTCTGTATCCTGATCTGAGTGGTAGTTATATAAGTATGTTGTATGTGAATTTTATAAAGCTTATTCAGGCGATCTACTTAAGATTGTGTGCTTCACCAAAAATCCATTTAAATAGAAATCTCAGGAACTCTTGGTACATTTTGCATGTCTACCACTTCAAGACCTATTTTTCCTTTATTTATTTATTTATTTATTTATTTATTTATTTATTTAGCTACACATGACGATTACAATGATCTTGGCAATTCATACATTTCTGGTTTTATTTTAATGTTTTAAATTCAGGCAGATTAATCGGAAAGAACTACCCAATGAATAGTAAACCTCTTACATCTCTTAAAACAACTCCTGCTCTGAATCAAAGGACAGGTTTCTGTATGCTTACTATTCACTGGGCAGTTTTTTCCAATAAATCTATCTGAATTTAAAATATCAGAATAAAAACAGACAAAGTTGGTCTTAGGGTGACAGAAATGCAGACTGCACCAGTCGTCCTGAGATTTCTATTGCCATGGTGTCTTTAAATGGATTTTTAGTGACATTCCCTTTGTTCCTGTCCAGGGAGCATCTCAAAATATTTGAATCAGCATAATATGCAGCCTCCCACCCTCCTCCCTCACACCACTCTGAGGAATGCTAAGGGCCATTACTCCTCTCTGAGCAGCATCAAGCTGCAGGAAGATGTGTGTGTACCCTTCCCACAGCTGCTCCTGGGCCGTGTGTGCCTCATTTGGGTTCCAGTCACATGCTGGTGTACCCCAGGTGTGTGGGCAGCACCTAAGCCCCAAATAAGTCCTGGGGTGGCTCCACTGTGTCCACTGGGAAAACAAGTAGAGGACAGGCTGCCTGCCTGGCTTTCACATCTGAGGAACAGGGATGCTATTGTCTGGAAGACATGAGGAGCAGCCTCAGGTAGTGATGGGCAGAGGGGGAGGAGAATGAGAGTGATCCCTGGGAATGGAGGTTCTCTTTGTCTTTGAGGGACTCTGTTCCCTCAGGGACATTGAGGAGCACTGAGGGTGCCCCCATGGGGTACTTGTGGCCATCTGTCTCACCCCRGACCTCTCATGGGTGGTCTGTGCAAAGAATCCCCTGCTTGAGGCCTGAAAGTCTGGACAGGTGTCCTCAGGAGAGCTGGTGGGTCCAGGGGCGGCCAAGCCATGGTGTCCGGGAGGAGGTGGACCTTGATGTCAGATGATCTTGGGTTGAGGTCTTCACTCTGCCATCCTTGGATAAGCTAATCAACCCCCTCAGCCTCTGCCTCCTCGTTCATAAAATAACAGTAATTAGACCTGTCTCGGGGTGTGTGTGAGAGCCATACAGACAGACTTTATCTGAACATGTTCCTGTCAGTGCCTGAGACTTGGGAATTGCTCAGAAGTCACTTCCTCTCTCTCCCCCTCACTCCTTCCTCCCTCCTTTCCTCTGGATTCTATGTCCCTCTCCCATCCTTTTCATTCATTTTACTAATATCTAGAAGTTGATGCTCTTAATGTCTTTTGTTTGCACTTTCAGAGCAGTTCATCCTGTATTTTTCAGGGCTGTATTTTGGTGACAATGTTTTGATGGCAGAAAGCTTTAACACACACACACTCATCTCTCCCCTATGTGTTTATCTACATATCTGTGTCCTTGACCTTTCAGGGTCTTGGCTTAGTTTTGTGGAAGGCACCACTCCTAGTGCCAAGGTACAAAAAGCACACGTCACTATTCCCTCTCATTTTCAATGTCTGTGAAATTTGTAATAAAATATTCAGGCACGGGAGGGGGGAGATATTTCAATATCAGTTTATTTTTTACTACTCTGGGGGAAATAAAATTTTTGAATTGTGTGCCCTTGAATGACCCTCGAGGTCTTTGCCTATCCCCTGGATAGGGGATGGTAGATTTAGCTGGAGATGAAGCGGGGCTGCTGCTTCTGCCCACCTGCTGGGAACTATTGCTAATAACTGTGGGCAAACTACTTTTCTTCTTCAAACCTGTATTTTCATGGTCTATAAAACAACCTCAGGGAATTAGATGTATGTGGAGAGACATAGTACCTGGCAAGACAAACAGCAGTTGATGATGCTAAGGCCAGTAATTATTTCTGTTATTACTGGGGCTCAAATTTAAGCCAGTTTGTGTTCTAGATGTGTAGGAGATTCAGGCATGAGGCGGGAGTGTCCCTGACATCTGAATGCTTGTGGCCCAGTAGGAGCAAAATAAGTGTACCGTCTACCTTCACACAAGACAAGAATGGGGTAAATACTGAAGGTGGATGACAGCGTGCTGAGGATTTGCAGAGGTGGGAGCATTGGTGATGGAAAGAGCCCCCATTGCGGAGGTCCCCCCCCACATCTGGCCCATTGAGTTCACCATCAGCTCTGTAAAAGATCTGTTAATTCTCAACTCTGTTTTATACCCAGTCTAACAGTCTCAGAATTGGGAAGTGACTTCCTCCAGGGTCACATACAGCAAGCGAGAGGCAGCACCCAGTACTAGAACTCAAGTCCGTCAAACTCCAAAGCCTTTCTCCACACCACGCAGGGCTTCCAACCCCTCAGGCCTCCCCTCTGGCTCTCAGGAGCCTGGCCTCCCCTCTCAGGTCCCTTCTGGCTTGTTTGTCACCTGTCCACTTGGTTGTTAAATGATTAACGAGATTTCTACCTAGAGGCAAGGAAAAATCTTTGAAAGAAGGTCCTCTCACCGTGGCGACAACCTGCAGAGGCTTCAAGGGAAACCAGAGGGAAGAACTCTGTACAGCCCCTTGACTGGCCTCCTGGCCCTCCTGTTCAGCTCTGAGCACGGAGAGGCTCTTAACTCCCAGGAGGTGCTGCCAGTGATTTGGCACATAGCTCAGGAAGGACCTGCTAGAGGAGATGTGAACTCAACGTTATTAGAATGTCCCTGGGTAGTTAGAGTCGCACTGGGAAGGCCGCTGACCTGGACCAAGTTGCAGGGAGGTGATGGTCCGAGGGTTGTTTTTCCCAGAGGGAGAGAGTCTGGCCATGGCCCTGGTCCAGGGGCATGTGTAYACTCTCTGTTGTTGGTGGGATCAGAGTTGGAGGCATCCTGCCCAGAGGCTAGGCTAGAGCTTCTCTAGGACTGGGGTTGGGGCGAACCAGCCAGACAGCCTGTAGTATATGGAGGAGATCTAATAGGTGTAGATTTAGGTACTAATGAGTATGYAGAAATTCTCATATTCTTAAACTTTTAATTAAGAAAGGCTGTGTGGTATAGGGGTTAAAATGTGGGAATGGCAGTTACACACCCTGGAATCCCTTCATTGCATATTTCCTCACTGCGTGATCSTGGGCAATTTCCTTTTCCACTCTGTGCCTCAGTTTTTTCATGTAAAATTGACAATATTAACTATTGCTTGTGGGTTTTTGATGAGAATTATATTAAGTGATGCATATAACACAYTTTAGCTTAGGGCCTCTCACTTAGTAAGTACACACTTGGTTTATTGTTGCTGCTGCTATTTTTAGAACCATTACAATTTGATGGGAGAGATAGGTCTAAGAATTAAGGGAATAAATAATACAGTAACCCAGGATGTGGAATATGCTAAATTTTCAGTACATCATTCGAGCATATTAGAATATATAAGAATGTGCTTAAATGTAACCTCCATAAAGGTTAAGGATTTGAATTAGTTCACAGTAGTATTCCCAGTGCAAATAAGCTTGCCCAACACATAGAGGTTTCCAAAAAATATTTGTGGAATGAATGTTTTCAAAACCAAGCTTTTTCCTGCCTTGGGGCCTTTGCACATGCAGTTCCTTCTGCCGGGTATTCGCTTCCTGAAGCTCTTTCTCTCTTCTCATCCTTTAGGGCCCTTTTTCCAAAAGTTATCACCTGACTACAACTCACCCCTCCCATCATCATAACCTAAATCACATCAGTGTCCAGAGTGTCTGTCCCAGACTCCTTGTTCATTTCCTGATAAAGAGTCTTCATAATTCATAATTGCACATTTATTTGTGTTTGTTTTTTTTACTCTCTGCCTCTCACTGATTATAAACTCTGTAAGATGGGAATCAGTCTTATCCCCCGATTCTCACACCTTCCTTGGTGCCTGGTAAGTAGCAGGCCTGAATGTGCCAGAAGTGTTCAGAGGAAGAGAACACTGGGCCGAGGCAGTTGGGTTAATTTTCTACTCGTGTATGAGATGAACACTGGACTACTCAACTCCTTGTCTCCTTCTCTGATGGCAGAGTCAGATGAAGTAATTTTGTTGAAGTTTGTGCATATGTTCACTCATTTACTCTCCAGGCCTCGACTGGGCCCTTGCTTGTCCACTGAGGGGTGGGCTCTCCCCTCTGTGTTCCAGGCCACAGCTAGGGTGGGCCTTCACAGTCAGGGAGAGTGTCGTTATCTCTGGTGCTCCTACCTGGCTGGAGTTCAGTTTGTGATGGAGGAGGGACCAAGCACAGGAAGGCACCCATAAGGTGGAATGCACAAGGGGAGAAGGGGCTGGGAGAGAGGTGGATAAACTTAGGTTGCCTGTCTGTCTTCAGTGTCCCATTCAGCCACGGGATTCTGCAGAGGAGGGGTTTAACCACTGTTTCAGGACACTGGTCAGGCCAGGTTCCTGCAAGTGTCCGTCTCCATTGCCTATCTTGCTGATGCTAGCCATTCTGGGTCCTCAAGTGCCTGGATGCATTGCTGACTTGCCTTCCATTCACACTGCTGCTTCTCCCTCCTGGCGTTACCCCTCACACTGCTGCTTCTCCCTCCTGGCGTTACCCCCAGGCGGCCTCCAAAGCCTTCTGGTTTGCATTATGTCTTCAGGACAGCAGATCATTAACATCACACTTATGTCCCCTCCTGGGTTCCATGGTCAGCAGGTCAGGGTTCTTCCAAAGAAAGCTGGCTAATTATATCCCTTGTCAGAACAAAACCCTGCAAGGGGAGCCACTCGGTGGCCTATAAATGCAGCCAGAATGGGAGCAGCACCGTTGCCATTGAGGATTTGTCTCCTCCCAGCTCCGGCTCCTCTGATCCTGGTGAAACCAGTGGCTGCCTTCACTTGCTAGCTCACCCCTGGGTGTGTTGGGCTGTGGGGATGAGCTGGATCCGCAGGTCTCCCTGCCAGTGGAGGCATAGGAAGCAGCAGAAAAAAGGGAGCCGGCAGGGAGGCTGGAGGCTGGCTAGAGACCCGGCTGCGGGGGTTGGAGGCCTGCGCCAAGTGCCAGAGCGAAGCCGGTGGCTGAACTCCTGTCACACCCCYGTCTGCTCTGCCACCCCCCTACTCCAGGCTTCTCCCCCTTTTTCCTCTGGTCCCTTTTACTTTCTTCCTCTCTCTTCTAAGAGATTTCTTTATATTCTCTACTTTCCTTGGACCAAAAGGCTTTCTAACAAGATAATCGGCATACAGAAGTCCAGACTCCTAAAGTAGTTTTATTTATTTATCTTTTACAGTACTGGGGGTTGAACCCAGGGCCTTTCACATGCAGGGTGAGGGCTCTACCTCTGAGCTACATTCTCAGCTCTAAAAATCTGAACTTTTCTAAAGTAATGACCTCATATTTATTCTCTGCCCAAGTCCAGGGTATCAGACCTTTTGGGTGTGGAGCGAGGGCCACCTTGGCCCGGGACTTGGAGGAGRACTAATGCAGGAAGTCTCTGTTCACAGACTGATGCTGAAAAACACTCACAGGTGGAGAGGAATTCCCTGTGGTCTGGTGATGACATCAAGAAATCAGACGGAGGGTCAGACAGCGGCATAAAGATGGAGCCCGGTTCCAAGTGGAGGCGGAATCCTTCTGACGTGTCGGATGAGTCTGACAAAAGTACGTCAGGCAAGAGGAATCCCGTCATCTCCCAGACAGGCTCATGGCGGCGAGGCATGACAGCTCAAGTGGGCATCACCATGCCAAGGACCAAGCCGTCGGCCCCTGCGGGTGCGCTGAAGACCCCGGGAACTGGTGAGTAAGAGGCCAGCACTGTCCTGGGTCTGCAGCTGCCAGTTTAAAACACAAAACTGTCGTAACTCTAGGGAGGACTTATTATAAATTCCTTCATTGGGTTTAACCGCCCCCTCTCAGGCTCACATCCTGCCCTTTTACTAAGGGGAGCTGGGTAAGCAGCTGAGCCCTGAAAGCAGCTCAGCTGTGGGGGGTGGGGGGTGTGGGGGGTGTTGGTTGGTTTAACTGTACACCAAATTGGTTTAACTAGATACCAGGCAACCTCGGTGCACCTGGTGCAGGCTGCTCAACTGCATATCCGTGTGCTGAGTGTCACCCGTGAGTTAGGAGATAGGTGACAAACAAGGAATGAGTCCACCTGGAAGTGTTAGGCACAGCCTTGWAATGGACAGAGGGTCAAAGATCAGAAAAAAAGGCTCCTGGGCAAAACAGTGATTACGATCTAGTAATTTTATTTAGTTTTATTTTTCCATGTTTTTTATGGATGCATTATCATTGTTCATAATGTCCTGGGTAAATTTAGACTGCTTCGCAAATAAGTAAAATCCTCAGCACTTCCTAAAAGACTCCCTGACAGTAATACACTAGATGATCTTCATGGAAAACTCTCTCCCTTGGCCTCAGGGTGCTGCTGTCCCTGAGGGGAAAGTGAGCTCCTTCTTCAGAGTAAGGGAAGCTGGAAGTCGGACTCCTGGTTCKCAGACTAACCTTGCTGATTTCTCTCTCAGGAAAAACAGACGATGCCAAGGTGTCTGAGAAGGGGAGGCTCTCACCCAAAGCCTCCCAGGTGAAGCGCTCCCCATCTGACGCAGGCCGCAGCAGCGGTGATGAATCCAAAAAGCCCCTCCCCAGCAGCTCCAGGACGCCTACGGCCAACACCAATAGCTTTGGGTTCAAGAAGCAGAGTGGCTCTGCTGCTGGGCTCACCATGATCACAGCCAGCGGGGCCACAGTCACCAGCAGGTCAGCCACACTAGGCAAAATCCCAAAGTCATCTGCACTTGTCGGTCGGTCAACTGGACGGAAGACGAGCATGGATGGGGCTCAGAATCAGGACGATGGGTATCTGTCTCTCAGCTCCCGGACAAACTTGCAATACCGGAGTTTGCCGAGGCCCAGTAAGTCCAACAGCCGGAATGGGGCTGGGAACAGGTCTAGTACCAGCAGCATAGATTCCAACATGAGCAGCAAGTCCGCAGGCCTGCCGGTGCCGAAGCTCAGGGAGCCTTCCAAAACGGCCCTGGGCAGCTCGCTACCAGGTCTGGTCAACCAGACAGATAAGGAGAAAGGTATCTCCTCGGACAATGAGAGCGTGGCTTCCTGTAACTCGGTGAAAGTGAACCCGGTTGCCCAGCCTGTGCCCAGCTCGGCTCAGGCCACTCTCCAGCCCGGTACTAAGTACCCAGATGTGGCCTCCCCAACTCTCCGCAGGTAAGTGGGAAAATAAGTTGTACCAAGCAGAGCTGCAGTAGGTGAAAGGGCATCCTAGGTTAAGAAGTTCTCGTTTCTTCTTGCCGGGCATGGTGGTGGTGCTGCATGCCTATAATTCCAGCAACTCAGGAGGCTCAGGCAAGAGGATTGCAAGTTGGAGGTCAGACTTAGAAACTTACTAAGACCCTGTCTYAAATTTAAAAAAAATAAAAAGGGCTGGGATGTGACTCAGTGGTTAAGCAACCCTAGGTTCAATCCCTAGTACAAAAAATAAAAATCCTGTTTCTCAGTTAAAGTAACCTCTATTTTTCTTCTACTTCAGTCCTTTTAGATAAAGTTGTTCAGGCAGTTTCTGCCTGCAATTTTGTAGTCCAAGGGTTATTCTTCCCTGTTGGGATGGAAAAAGGCAAACCTCTGGAATCATCATTCTAGGTTCAAATCATGAGACCATCTTAATTAACCAGCGTGTAACCTTTCTTAACAACTCTGCTTCAGCTTCCTTATCTGTAAAATGGGGATGATGATTCTTCTCCTAAGGTTTTTGTAAAGTTAATCTTTGCAACTAGATCTGGCCATAGTAAACTCAACACTCAGTAAAAGTTGATTATCATCCGAGATGAGGTCTTGATACACTCTTAGGACAGGGTCAGTAGCCCAAGGAAAGCAAGTAATTTTTTTCTTTTTTTCTGATCTTGGTAACTCTGTGACTGAGCTTCCTCATTGTGAGAAACATTGATCTTAGCTGGATCTTTTCTGTACATCCCAGTGTTCTTTTTAATTCMACATACATACTTCCAAGTTAGTCTCTGAAATTTTAACTTTCTTTAAAAAAAAAAAAAAAGAAAGAAAACCTCTTAAAGCAGAACAATTTCTGAGAAGGAGAAATTGATTTCCCATTACCTTAAAAAGGCACCATTTTTCCACATTTCCACACTCGGTGGAATTTCTTAATGTAGAAACAGTATTCACTGTTTTTTAATCGTTTCTTTGACATTTTGCCTGCTTATATTATCTCCTTGCCCATTGGACCATCCTTACATCGAAGCTGAGCATAGTTTAGAGCTCATTCCACCTCCCCAGGAGATTTCTTGTCATAAGAAAGAATGAGTCCCAAGGACGGAAAATGAAGCAGTGAAAAACGAAAAACTAAAGGCACGTACATACTTGGGGGTGAGCGGGAATGTTGAAAAGACTTCAGAAGCAGCATTCCACTTGAAAGGTATAACGAAGCTGTTCACTGTCCTTTGTCTAGACTTGATCATTAAAATTTCAGTAATGATTTTTTTTTTTTTGAGGGGGAACGTCCTGTTGGCCTGCTCTTTGTTGTTTTAACAGTTTGCCTTGTAAATGAAAATTTTCTCTGCTTCTTGCCTCAAGTATCACATGTAATATCTGCTCTTTGGTATTACAGATTCCCTTTAGTAACTACAAAGGCATTTCACTAGACCCTGAGGCTGATGTGACCCAATACGTGAGAATGCATGCAGCTCCTTAGGTCTGCACAGAGCCCCAAAATGAATCTCACTTTCCCTAAGTTGTTCTTGATTCTCATGCTGTGCATTAATATGGAGAGTGAAGGGAGGTAGCTAAGTCTTGAGATGATTCGAAGGACTCACAGACAAAGACTGGACTTGTCTTTGGGATGGGGAACAGTTGCATAAAAGACAGGAAAAGAAGGATCAGATTTTGGTTTTCTAACAGTTACAGAAGAGCTTGGCAATGGAGCAATGAGTACTGAGGTCCCCGTAACTGGAAGTATGTAAACATTCTAAAGCCAAGATTCTACGATACTGTATTTCATTATCTGGTTTTCACCAGGGGGAAAGCATTTCTCTTCTCTCACCAGATACTGTGGTGAGGATTGGTTGAGGATTATTGGTTCTATGTCTGCTTATCTTTATAATGAGTAAAATTTGCAGGATTGGAGATGACATAGGTCATCACTTTGAGTAGCTGGGTGAAACACAGTCTGTCTAATAGTTTCATCACTTTTACTCTGGGTGGAATAAGGCCCTTTCATTACTTGAATGTGACTTTAAGCCATCTCCACAGTTGGCAGAGAGCTCTGTGCTGATGGAAGAAGGGGGCCTATATGCCATTTCCTGTGCTGCATTGTTGATCAGGGAGATGACATGAAGTGGCACTTCTGTGTGTCTGTTCCAGAGGCATGATTTGTACCCAGCATGTCTGGGCTAATGTCTTGTGACCCAGCAAGTTTTCTGTGTATGTCTCCTACCCTAAAATATACATCTTTTGGGCTTTCCTTTGAGGATTAATCTGTGAAGATACTTTTCCCAGGCCCCATCCAGATCTAGACTTATGTTCTTGATTCCTTGCATTGTGCTTAGCGACTGGGATTGAGCTGTCTGCTTTGTGTCACGGGTAGGAAAATGACTTAGATAGCTCTTCCCTCTTAGATGTTTCCTGGGCCAGGACAGTTTTCTAGTTAGTCTATAGAAAGAAAGGGAGGTGCCACCTTGGACCAGTGTGACTAGCCCAGTAGAAGGACKAGCCTTCCTAACCACCCATTGGTTCAGAGAGGACCAGGATCTCAGCTGCATCCTAGAACTTGCAGTTGGCACTTCTGATAGAGGTGTCATGTCCAGGCCTTTGGCCAACTTTTTTCCAATTCAGTAGGACAGATGGTGTCTCCCTCTCCAGGGAGTCTTGCTGCCCGCTATGCCCTACTCTCCTCTTAACAACTCAGCGCCCCTCGGCCTGGGTGTTCATCCCACACAACCCTTTGTCTCTTCACAGACTCTTTGGTGGGAAGCCTACCAAGCAAGTGCCCATCGCCACAGCTGAAAACATGAAAAATTCGGTGGTCATCTCCAATCCTCATGCCACCATGAGCCAGCAAGGTAACTTAGACTCCCCGTCAGGCAGCGGCATCCTGAGCAGTGGTGGCAGCAGCCCTCTCTACAGTAAGAACCTGGACCTCACCCAGTCTCCTCTAGCCTCCAGCCCCAGCTCTGCCCACTCGGGCCCTTCCAACAGCCTGACCTGGGGCACCACTGCCAGCAGCTCCTCAGCAGTTAGCAAGGATGGCCTGGGCTTCCAGTCTGTGAGCAGCCTCCACACCAGCTGCGAGTCCATTGACATCTCCCTCGGCAGTGGAGGGGGACTGAGCCACAATTCCTCCACTGGCCTGATCGCCTCCTCTAAGGATGACTCTCTGACRCCCTTTGTCCGAACCAACAGTGTGAAGACCACACTGTCGGAAAGGTTGGTGCTGTGCCCCTGGCTGTCCCCACCCCCCCCCCTTCTCAGGAAGAAGCTGTTTCCAGAGCACAGAGATTAGGTTAGGAACCCCAAATGATAATTCACCTTTGCCTGCGAGATTTCGTTCTTTCCAGTTACTGCTCTTTCACAGGGAGGCCAATTTGGGATGGAATTTAGCTTGACTATGCTTTCAGTTACCTCTTTGTCCTGCGGTTATCCTTGGTTATCCTAGAGCTGCTGGATGTCTCTTGGGTGCAGATCTGTGCTACYATTTGAAATGGCATTCAGCCTTTGAAATCCTCCCATTTTACTCTGTTCATTCATCAGCGCCTTCTTTCTCCTCCCACTTGTAATTGTGCAAAGGGGGCGGCTGTTCCAGTGCAGCCATGAAACGTGTGGTGGCTGGATGTTCATTGGGCCTCTGGGTAGATTTAGTGTCATAGCAAACACCCTTCCACTGAATTGCCACTGGCCACAGTGATARGAAATCAAGAAACTGAAAGTGTCCTCAGAGCCCTGGCTTTCACTGCAGTAGTGATGTGTGGCCAGTTTCTGCACTTGGGGAAGAAACCTAGTAAAGAGGTTAGTAAAGAGGAAAGTAAAGAGGAAAATATCACTTGTGTGTAACAACACTTCTCCTTTTCTTCAGTCTAATGTTCCTTCTCTTGTTTTCTACCTGCCTGGATTTCTAGCCCTCTCTCTTCCCCTGCTGCTAGCCCTAAGTTCTGCAGAAGTACTCTGCCCAGGAAACAGGACAGGTAATGATGTTGTAGGCCGGGGCCCCACACAGGCCTCCCGGCTCCTCTGCCTGTCTGTTGTCAAGCCAGATGTTTTGTGCAAGGCTGTTGGCCTGAGGCTTCTGCTTGTGTTTGTGGTTCTGGTGTATTCTGTGACATCCAGACATGCCAGTGAGTGTCTGTTCTGCTGTCTGAAGCTCAGGGAGGTGGAGTTGGGCTGGCCCTTTCATTCCCAGCATGGGAAGGCCACCTCAAAATCTGCCCCTTGACCTGGGATGGCACAGGCTCTCCCTTGCATCTCCCATGGTCTCCTGTGGTCTCCTGTAGCATGTTCCCTGCTCCCCAGATTCCTGTCATTGCCTCCCCACCCCAGCCCAGAAATGGTGTACCACCCACTGTGCAGCTTGGCCCTCTGCTCTTGTCAGCCCCTCCCCATGCAGCTGGCTCTTCTCCCTTTCAAAGTCCTTCCCTGCAGTTTGGCTCCTCCTGTCGTGCAGACTGTTGTGTTCAGTGTGCCCCTTTCCTGTAATGATAATGAGAAGAATATGCAGATTGTAGAAGCTTGTGTTCACCCCCAGCTGTGGGTGGGCCTCAGGGATGGAAATTGACCTTAAACTTGTGGAGGAGCAATGGCTTCGCCAAACATAACAAGCAAATGTTGTTTCATGCTAAGGGAAAAAAAAATTAATGGAAACCCTCTTCACCCCATCAACAGCAAAAACTTTGTTTTTGTCAGACTCACAAAACAAGCCTTTAAACCCTGTTCTTTGGAAATCCAAATGCCTTGACTCCGTCAGCCAGCAAGTTGGAACTTGCCCGACTCCAGCCCAGGGCTCAGCTCCCTGCTACGCCTTTGCTAGGTTAGAAACAGGGAGAAATGGAGAGGGACCTGGAATTCACTTTGTTACAGATGAATTTCAAATATGCAGACTGCTGGCCCCTTGAACCCCTTCAACAAGTCCATTCTCCCTCTTGAAGCCATTGCCAGTGGCATTTAGGAGGCGGGCCAGAGCTAAGGGTGCAGGGAAACTGGTATTTCTCTCTCCAAGGAACCAAGGTGGTGGTAGTGCAGAGATGGGCAGCAAGGGCTCTGCTTCAAGGTGGGGCAGCCCCTGAGTTTGGCTTTGAACCTGTGGCAAAGGAGAAACGATTGGGGTTGAGCGACTCAGGCCACCTGGTGACTTGGGGTAAAGTATGTACTGTGTCAGGTCAGGCCCAGGACAGGGCTCCTTTTGCTTTCCCGGGTGGGGATGTGTTGCATGCAGAGCTGGGTAAGAGGGCTCTCCCTGGTGATGGGAGTCTCTTCCTCAGGGCTCTTTGGCCTCTTCCCCAGCCTTCTCCCCTTCGCATTCCCTGCTCCCTGTGCTTCTCTGAAGTTCTTCTTTTTGTTTTAACTTTCCTACAGTGACCCGCACCTTGATAGGAACACTTTGCCTAAGAAAGGACTCAGGTATCTGTCTCCTTGCACCCATGCCATCTGTTGTGGCCTTGGAGCTTGGCTGTGTGGCTCTCTCATGGCTGGTGGGGGTTTGGACTGGGCCGGGGATCCCGCTTTGGCCACTGCAGCAGGACMTTTTGGATGACCACTCCCGTGGATCCCACTAGTTCTCATCTCTCCATCTGTGGCTTATTTGCTTGAGCAGGGGCTTGTGCTTCTTCAGGCTTGATGTGACACAACCATCTCATGACAGACGTCCCTGGGCAAGCCCAGAGAGCAGCCGCTGCTACTGCTGGGCCCCAGTGGGCTTCATTCCTGAGCACTTCTCCTCAACCATTCTGTCCACATGGCTGTCTTCTAGCAGAAAGAGCATGACTTATAGCGTGCTGATTTGTTAGATAGCTCCAGAGCCAAGGAGAAGAGGGATATTTCACTCCTGATTTAAAGATATTTAACTTTTTGGATTGAAGAAAAAAAAAATACTGCTAAAGACAGATACCTTGCTCTTATGTAGATGTTCTAATTGATAACCAGTTGGCTTTCAACACCCCCACCAAGATGTGGTGTGCATGTATGACAATAGAGACTACCAGGAAGGAATATCCTTCCATGTATARTAAGTCATGGCTTTGTTCATTTGGGGGGGCTCATTCTGGTAAAACAGGATGCTATAAGTCACCGCTGCTCATACCATCCACCTCACTGTGCCAACCCTAGGAACTCCAGTTTACTCCTGCCTCCCCCATGGTCTGACTGTCATCTCTCCTGCTTCCTAAACACTTCATTCTTCATAGCATTGGCTTCACCCTGAGCTAAGCATTAAGTGCTTTTGCCTAAAATGGAACTTGGAATGCGATGTTTCATTGCCGTCATGTATGTCTAGTTGATTAACCTGCAGCTCTTAAGACTGAGCGCATTTTGAACAGTAACGCGAGGTAGGTATCAATGCTTCCTTTCAATAGGAGCCCCAAGTAAAGTCAATTCTAAGGAGAGTGTTAACATCTCCCGACAGCCTGGGAGAGGGCATTCACTCTGTGGCCTTCAAGTCAGCATGGCCTTTGGTACTTGAGAGTTCATGTGGCGACTGTGAGCACAGCTTGTCAGCGACCATGCTCGATGCTTTAAGCAGCGGCCTCTCCTTATACCAATTTGACATCAATGCCCCTCTTTGACCCCAAAGGAACCTAGGTTCTAATATTAATGTTTTGAAATGGTATATTTCTGTAACATATCTGCCCTATCAAAATTATGTCACTGTGGCTTTTAAAAATTGGTATTTGGAAAAATTCACAATAGGGATCTGTGACAATCTATTTATAAGCAACTAGTGTGCTTTAGAAAGTTATAAGTCCATTGACCATAGGAAAACCCTTCAGGAAGAAGCATTTCTGTGTTCCCTTTCACTCTGACTCTCCCTGTCAAGTTCACTCCCTCAACACACACTGGTTGCACCCTTTTTTTAAGCCAAATGAATCTCTGTCATTACCTAATCAGCAGTCATAAGTGCAAAAGTCCTGGGTGCTTTAGGAATTCTAGATGTTGTCAGCGGGGGTACAAAGAAAAGAGCATGGATTTTGGAGTCAGAAAACATGGATTGAAATCTCAGCTCTGTGACACAGGACAGGGAGCTCACCTTCTCAGAACATACGATGAGAATAATCTTAGGCTTTAGAGAGAGAATGCCCATACAGGCATCTGGCACAATGAGATGTTCAAGGTCATTACCAAGTACATTCCAGAGCACAACAGAAGGTGGGCCACATGACTTCTGAAGACCTTCTCATGCCAATCACAGTAACTTGGGGTTCCTTCTGTGAAGGCTCGTATGTGCTAGATTGCAGCGACTGCTGTGAGCATCAGTGTCTTCAGCCCTCCCTTCACACCTCAGCTTTCTAACGTGCTGTGATTCATGGCTACTTAATTGTGCTGTAGAATGCAGATGCCAGGAGTCACCTAACTGAAACTTCCTCGAAGCTCTAACAGCAGATCCTTCTGTTGCCTCTGTACTGTCAAGGTGGGGGTTTTGACATGACACTGTCGTGAATCAACATGTTATAGTTACGCCCAGTGACGGCTCTTTTGAGCATTTACCAAACTTCTTCCCTTTAGGTATTCCCTCCAAAATGAAAGAATTATAATTTTCTCCAAATGCAGCCAAGTAGCATAAAAGGTTTTAAGAAACTTCAGAAGTTTCAGGGTGTGTAGGGATATGGTTTTTTTTAAAACCAGCTTTGGATATATATTTTCTTTTTATATATTGTCATCAGCTCCACAGAGATCATTTTCATAAGTGTTGTTCATAGTTCATTCCAGCCTGGTTTCTGTCTGCCCAGGTATACTCCCACCTCCCAGCTTCGCACACAAGAAGATGCAAAAGAATGGTTAAGGTCCCACTCTGCTGGAGGCCTGCAGGACACCGCCGCCAATTCCCCTTTTTCCTCTGGCTCCAGTGTGACTTCTCCCTCTGGAACGAGATTCAACTTTTCCCAGCTTGGTGAGTAGCTACTTGTCATGAGCCATAGACTGTATTATCCATAGAGAGGAGGTTGTCTTGGGATTTGGAATACAAAGGTAGTCACATCCCTCTCATTGTCTGATCAGCCTTCAGTGATGTAGTTTGATTATAGGAGATAATAAAAGAAATAAAGAGACTAGCAAAGTTTGGGGTACGCTAGCCAGTCATTCTCTTCCTGCAGTTGGTTTAGGGAAGGCAAACAGACCAGCCCATTCTTCAAGAGAATGCATTCCATTTCTTAGACCTTTAAAGAGGGTTTGACAGCATATCTCATGCTTGGTCATTCTTGCTCCCTTATTAAGCTGGAAATAAAAGTGAAGTTTTGATTGAACAAGTCTTCTTGGAAATGCTTGCTGCTGACATATGCTTTGACTGGCACAATGGGAAAGGAGAAGAATTTGTAACACAGTCCCTGTTGACATGTCAGTGGATTCTTTTCTAGAGAGAAAAACACACCCACGCAGACCTATAAAACAGAATAAAAGAGAACAATCCAAAGCTTTAAGGAAAACCATGTAATAACAGAATAGAATCAGATAGTGAATATTATATACAGTTAGGAAAAGATCGGTGCCAGTGGGCATTATTGGCAGAGGTTTTGGGGAAGCAGTGGGATGGGAGCTGAGCTGTGGAGGATGGATAGAGGGGGAAAATATGTTCCAGTCTCCTCTCAGTATTCAGAGAGGAAGCCTTTTCTGAATATTGTAAATAGTAAATTCAGAGTCTTTAAGGATAGGTGTGGCTTGTGATCCAGTGAGGTTTAACTCAGTTTTGAATAACTCAATAGGTACCTCTGAAAATACTGTGTAATACTAATACTGACATGGATAAAATTTTAGTCAGAAAGCTAGTTTTAGCTAAGTAAATGTGCCCCCTCGTGTTGAAGCTCTTTGTACATCATTATTAAATGCTCCTTTTCCGAGGCAGTGAGACCTGTGTTCATATTGTTCTTTCCCAGCCATAACTCTTTGCAGCAAGAGATTCTTGTCATGCACAAATGCTTCCCATCTGATCAAAAGCCTGGTTGGACTATTTTGGGCTTTTGGCTTTAGAGAGAATTGTTCCAGATGAGCCCGGGGAGTAATTAGCTCATGCCTGGAAGGTGACACTGGCTTGTCTGAACGTGCCAAGTTGGAACGCCAGGGCCCAGAGCCTTGCTTTGGAACTGACCCGCCTTCCCTCCCATATTTTTAGCTCTAAGTGTGTAGCTCCTAGGCTGATTCGACTACCTTTTAGAAAATAGACAAGGGAGAGAAGTTGGCARGAGCGCGTATGGCTGATGATAAGGAGTCTCCTCTCTGTCCCCATCTGGGATTTGAACAGAGACATGAATTTGCAACATTTGATTCCGTTCCTTTCATCCCAGCGAGCCCCACCACTGTCACCCAGATGAGCTTGTCCAACCCGACCATGCTGAGAACCCACAGCCTGTCCAACGCCGATGGGCAGTATGATCCGTACACTGATAGCCGCTTCCGGAATAGCTCCATGTCCTTGGATGAGAAGAGCAGAACCATGAGCCGTTCGGGTTCCTTCCGGGATGGGTTTGAGGAAGGTAAGGAAAGGGATTTGCCATCTCCTAGGTTACTCAGCGTTTGGGTGAGCGTCCTCTATGCTGGGTTTACTCTGTTGGCCTGATCCCCCACTTGTGAGTTCCTCTAACTCTCCCTCCTCCTCTGGGGAGGGGAATTCTGAATAGTAAGACCTGACTTTTAATTGGCCTTTTAGGACTTTAGGGAAGAGGCTGCTGAAATCACACTGGTGGCCCTCAGCACTGACTGAGTTCTGCTCCAGGCCTCTCTGTCCTGGACTAGGGCCACAGCTTTTTGGCAGGCACCTCCATCCTGAGACCCAGCCACTGGCTCGCCTTCCTGGCAGAGTCACGGGAGAGTTTGTTCCCTGTGTTGACGGACCTATGAAGCTCTGGGGGCTGGGCACCATGCCTCTCTGCTCTGCTCCAGAATTTTCTGTCTCTAGTACTACTTTTTTTCTTTTTAATTTATTGCATTCATTTTTACCCTTTTCCTTCTTTGGTTGCCAACTGTGCTTCTTTTGGGTTGAGTTTTTTTGTTTTGTTCATTTTAATCAGAATTGTAGAAGAAAAGTTCTGTGGACAACTTTGTCAACCTCCTCACAAGTCACCCTACTCCTCCTTCTCTTTGCTCCATCACCCAAGGTCTGAGTTAGGGGACGAATGGTCAAAATGCTTTCAAGGGACGTCACCCCACCCCCAAAGACTGGGCACATAGGACAGTGAAGGCAGGCCCCAGTGACCAGTGAATAAGAATATGGAGTCAGACCAGCAGAGTTTAAATTCCGGATCCTCAATTCCTTAGGTATACGATCCAGGGCAAGTTGTTTCTCCTATTTTATCACTGATAAATTGGGAGTCATAACAGTATTCAGCTCATGCAAGCCTAAGAATTAGATGAGATAATACATATAAATGTTAATGCAGTAACATGATTGCRTGTCACAGCCTCTAGACAGACATTCAGCGTTGGTTTCCTGGCAGCTTGAGGTCTCCAGCCGGGGATAGAGACTGGGGCAAGCAGAGGCAGCTGAGGGCTATACCTCTGTTTGTGCTATTTTTTGCCAGTGACAAAAAAAAGATAGGGGGCAAGTCATAGGTGCCTCCTTCTGCTCCCAGTCCCTGTGAGTGGAGCTATATGTCTCGCATCTGACCAATAGGAAAGAACAAATTTGTAGTTATTTAGGAAATCCCAAATCAAAGGGAAAGAAGCATAAAGGCATCTGCTTTCTCCTAATGTTCTTTTAAACAAAAGTTTTAAAGAATTTAGTTACGGAACAGTTGCTCCCTGGTTAATCTTGGCGACTTAATACTGTCCCCGTGATTTATGTATCATTTGCATCCATGACATCCAGMGTGCAGACTTGACTCTGTAAATCCATATATGGGAACCTGCAGGAACAGAGGACTAAGGAGGGGAGGAGCCTGGGTTACTGAGGGTTTTTTCCTTGATTTAAGAACTAAAAATGAATATTCTAACTGCTCAGAGCAGTCTAGTGGAGGAGACATTGACCCCCAAGGTGAAGGAAGATGCAGTCTGTCTTGAGCTTTTCCTGGTTCCCTATTAGCCAAGCATGGCCACCAAGCATTTTCCAACCTCCCTGATGATAACTCTCATGTGATGAGTTRATCCTGCATTGCGTCCATCTTCTCTACCCTGTGTACACCTGAGTGAACCACATTCAGTACTGAAACTTGTCCAAACAAGCACAGTTAGCCTCAGAAAGTTCTGGGACCATTCCAGTATCATCATCAGATAGCTTTTATTTTTTTCATCTGGAACCAACCTGACAGGCAGCCCAACTGTGCAGTATCTGGGATGTCAAAATGACAGTGATAAAAGAGCTTACCCACAAGCAGAATCTAGATATTCATAAACATGATGATTTATAGTAACAAGGAATTGAAGCACAGGGGTWAAAAAAAAATCAAACTTTGGAGGAAAAGGTAGGGACTGCTGTTAATGTGCTTGGGGACATGGAACGTTTTCATCCTTGGGGAAGTCTACTATCAGTGATATTGTTTCTCCTGAGACTGTTAACATTACAAAACAAAATAGAACTTGTGTTAACCAGGTCTTTTTAATTCCTCTGGATGCAAACTATTTTTTTCATATTTCACATTTGGACCAAATAGAACCTCTTTATAATATGGCCTTGTGTGTTCTATGCCATAAAGCAGAATAGAAACTTAGAATTAGCGCAMGTTGTTTGTGTGAGGTGGTTGTACGTTTGAATCAGTACTTACCAGTTTGAAGGTAAGTGGGAATCCTAGGTCTGTAGGTTAGTTGCAGGAATGGCCCAGATGCAAGACCCTTCGAAATTATTTCAGATAAATTAATTTTTATCAGAAAACACTGCAATCTCCCAGCAGCTCAGGAGGCTGAGGCAGGAAGATCAGAGTTCGAAGCTAGCTTCAGCAATAGTGAGGCACTAAGCAACTCAGTGAGATCCTGTCTCTAAATAAAATTTTTTAATAGGGCAGGGGATGTGGCTCAGTGGTTGAGTGCCCTCAAGTTCAATCCCTGGTACTCCCAAAAAAGAAAACACTGCAATCTTAAAATCAATTTTAGTAGCATATACTTCGAGGAATGCTGGGTGCATTTTTAAGATGGTTGTCTTTGCACAAAAACAAACAAACAAACATGATTTTATCAGTCATGACTAAGAACTGCTATAATCTGAAAGCCAAGAGACCCCCATCCTGTCAGTTCACACAGACTCCCCAGCAGCAGAGAAGCTTAGTAAGGAGGAAGTCTTGTCCTGCATCATGCTCGTGTTCCTAGCCCCTGAGTTAGGGTCATGATTCAGATCCTGTCACCCCCATGGTTTGCACTGTGGCTTCAGGGAAGGGGTTGACTCTCATCAGCCTGTTTCCTGTTTGCTAAAATGTGGAAAATAATTGTACCTGCCTCAGAGGATTGAAGTGAAGATTGGGCAAGATAAATCCTGGAAAGCATTTAACAAATAACTCTGAAAGGGGCTTATCGTAAGTGCTCCATCAATGGTAGCTATTGCTGTAATTGTCATCTTATATCCTTCTCCCCAAGGGCCATTTCTTTCCTCCCCATTTTTTGTTTAATGACAAAATTGAGACAGATGTGACGTGCAGAATGAGGTCCTAAGCCTCTTGAGTCCCAGCTCTCTTTTTACTCAATCCTACATTCACATTTGATTTACATAGCTTTTTTTTTTTTTCCTCTTTCACCTTTCTCAGGCAAGGTCTAGCCCTTCATGGGTGTGTTCTCTGCTCTGTCATGCTTCCTCTGCTGGCTCAGAGGCGGGGTACCATTTTTTTCTCTCTCCTTCCATGGTACCCAACTGTGGAATGAGAATTAGAGTGTGATGCCTAGGTTTTCTCCTTGCCTCTGACTGGCTGTGTGCCTTTGGCCACATCACTTGACCACTCTGGGCCTTGATTTACTCATTTTCTAATTAAGGATAGAAACTCCTGCATAGTCTGGGATTATTATCTGCAAATTCTCTGTGATAATAAGGATTATTTTAAACAATAATATAAATGAGAAAATGCTTTAATAGTAGAAGTGTGTGCATGTGTGTGTGTGTGTGTGAGAGAGAGAGAGAGAGAGAGAGAGAGAGATTCCCAAGTGTGACATTTGACTACTCTATTAATTGGAGTATGCCCAGTCATTTGATTCTGTCTAGAGGCTCTACATTCTGTGTAGAGGTCTAAAGTTTCTTTATTCACAAACTTCAGTCCTGGATGTTGCTTCCGTATAGATTAAACAAAGGTATTAGGCAATTATTCTAAAATACACTGGAAAACTTTTCAGAAAGAGAGAGAGAGAGAGAGAGAGAGAGAGAGAGAGAGAGAGAGAAACAAAAGAAACGAAACCAATAGACCTAGTCACCAAGGGCAAAGTAGTCTCCAGATTCAATATTCCGTTCTTGAATTGTCATGTGAGACCTTAAGCAAGTTTTTTTTTAACCTCTCTGAGTTTCTGATTCCTCAGTGGCAAAGATAGCCTAGGTTTCCCTGTGGTTCCTTGAAGCTATAAAATTTTGGAGGCACAGAGACTAGGAGCATAATTACATGGCACACTTTAGCTGTTTTAGTTTCGGATATCTGCCGCACAACCAGGCTCTGGCTTGACTCAGGTCACTTGGAGGAGGAGCAGCTACAGTGGCTCAGGCCAGGCACACTCAGTTTTGGTTGACTCTGGGTCTTTTTTTTTTTTTTAAGACTTTATTTACTTATATGTGGTGATGAGAATCAAACCCAGTGCCTCACACATGCCAGGCAAGTGCACTACTGCTGAGCCCCAGCCCCAGCCCCTCACAGGGTCTCTTTAGACCAAAGCCTTGCCCTTGCTTTTTACCAAGAGAGAGGAGTTAATTATGGTGAAAAAAAAGGGACTGCACCTTAAGCCACCAGTTGCGCTCCTCTGCCTTGGGCCTTAAGCTTGCCCTGAGTTGCTGCCTAATCTCCTTCAGTGAGTTTATGTTATAAGATATAGGGAGAGAAGAGAAAGCACTTCCATTTTCCAATAGCGAAAGGCTGTTGTAGCCCTCTGGAGCTGGCCTGTGACAGGGCTGTCATGCCAGTGACGGAAGGGTGGCCATGTGTTATGCACATTCCACCTGACCCAACCTCTGATGGAGTCTGGCCTCTTCCTTCTGGGTCCTGCAGTTGAAGTAACTTACCCTTGTGGAACATTAGGCTGCTACTTTGGGGCTTTAGAGCCTCTGTTAATGTGTGGACACGTTAACACTGAAAGCCATTGTTGGCCGTTAACACCTTAAACTGAGTTTTATAGGTATGAGTCAGATTTGTCATGGATGGAGGAAGAATGGAGGAAAATATCTAGAACTCAGCGCATTGCCAAAGAGGAGGGACAGGAATGGTGGGCGGAGTCAGCCTCAGAGGAACAGTTACCTGCTGAGTGAGAAGAGGCCAGGATAGCAATCGCAGAGCTCTGTGGGTAGAAGATGCAGATGGCAGGCAGGCAATGAAAGGCTTTTTGGAGAGGACATTGTTCGCACACTCCTTATTTGGTTGGGCACTATTAGGGGCATCCCAACAAAGAGAAGTGCACAGGCAGAGAGATTCCAAGGCTGGAAGGTACAGGCAGAGAGATTCCAAGGCATGATTGGGAGAGAAGGGAAGGAGTCATAGTATGATAGGAACAAATAAAAGAAGAATGGGAGGTCAGGGAGGGTTTACTGGAAAGACCAGAGATAGGCGTCCGAGTAATAGGCTGCACTGTTCATTTGGTGRTTCACTGGCAAGTAGCTTCTATGGCTGGGATGAGCTCACATCTTGAGTGGTAGGTGACTGTCATAAGTGCATGGTTAAACTTGCTTCTGAGGGCTGGGGTTGTGGCTCAGCAGTAGAGTGCTTACCTAGCACGTGCAAGGCCCTGGGTTCGATCCTCAGCACCACATATAAAAATAAATAAATAAATAAATAAAAGTATTTAAAAAAAAAGTTGCTTCTGAGAATTCTGCTTCAGGTTGCAGGTTATCATGCAGAACAGAAGTATAGGCATCCCACCTGTGGTCAGAACAGTGGGGCCTAATTCAAAGTTTTCATTCAGAAGTCTGAAAGCAGGAATAGTTCAGTCTTTGAAATAAGTTATCAAGAAGTTACCGAGAGAATAAGAACCTGGCTTTCTAAAAGAGAAGGCATCCAGAACACCTAGACCTAGAAAAACCAGGCTTTAAAATGAGAAAAATAAAATATCTCTACTGGCTGGAGAGGTGATAAGGCTATACAAGTAGGATCTAAGTCAGAAAGTATTAGTTGCAAACAGAAAAAAGGATACTACTTTGCTTGTTACTTTGCAGAAACAATAGAAATTCAATGCAGGATCTGTACTTCAGTGAATGTTTTTGAACCACATATTCTGCTACATGGTCATGTAAAATGAATTGACTATGGTCAACAGCCTCTTGGGTTCAAACTAATCTGTTCATCTTTTTGAATGTACAGCACAGGGTATAAAAAAWATATATATATATTATATATATATCTCACAGGGTATAAAATACATGTGCAATGCAATCTCAACCCATAAAGGAATGACATTAGAAAAAAAAAAGTAGAATAAAATATGCTAGAACAGTAGCAGATTTCCCCTGAATAGTGGAATCATGAGTTACCACAGGCTACCGCAAGGAATATGCCTCTTTCCTCTCTTTTTTCTATTTGTGCTGGGTTCTGAATGCAGGGCCTCCCACATGCTAGGCAAGAGCTCTACCACTGAGCCTCATTCCCAGCCTCACAAACTATTTCTTATTTCACCCTGACCTGTCACCAACCCAGGCCGAGGTGAGACTACCATGCTGAGCCTGACAGTGTCCTCCAATTCTGATTTCCTGCTCCCCACTCCCTTTTCTGGTTCCATAGCAGCCAGCTGTRCAATTCACTTTGTTTTTTCTTTTAATAGTTCATGGATCCTCGCTCTCCTTGGTTTCCAGCACCTCGTCCATTTATTCTACAGTGAGTATAAATCATTGGCTATGATCATGAGAGCTTGGATTCCTTTATCAAATGTGTCAGGAATAAAATACAATGAACATTGCTCCTGGAGAGAGCATTTCCATTATAAGGGGATCAAATAATTAGGGAACAAGATTTGAAATTCACAAGCAGCTATTAATTATAATATACCAACCAACAAGTCAGGAACTGGCTGTTTTGTTCATATGGTGCTTTTGTCAGAATGTGTGAGAAGCCTTGGCCACCTGCTGGTCGGCATGGAAAAGAAAGGCTTTGAACAGTTCATTAATCCTCTGTCTGCCTCAGTTTCTTTTTCTGTTAAGTAGAAAGAACAGCAGTTTTTACCTTATAGAGTTGTATTGAGGACTAAATGGTTTGAACGTTACATTTCACTGCAATAAAAATTCCTGGGAGATGAGGACTTTTTTATTCCTAGTGCTGAGGACAGTGCCTAGCACCTAGTAGGTTTTCAAAAAGTCAGTTTGAAAGAAAGGAGAAAGTGTATGCATTATGTTAAACATGGCCYGCACAGCTCAGGACAAACGTTCCTAAAGGCCGACTGCCATCGCTGAGAAGGCTGTTAAACAAAATGCAAATATAACCCAACACATTTGGATTTTCAGTACTATAGGATTTGTTCAGTGGAACTTACTTTTTTATAGCTATATGCTATTTATCTTAAAAATATTAATTTGGGAATTCCTATAGGAAAAAGAAATTGCTTTGTTAATCCTTTAGCCTTTTAATTCCAAGGAAGCACATGCTTTAATCATTCAGGTGTTGAGAATTCTGGGTTTCTGGGCTATATAACAGGATGCACTGCATGCGGCTCTTTGAAAATAAGTGATCGTGCCAGAATCAAGTGAGAGAGACCAGGACCTCATTGTTTCTTATTAGTGAACACGTTGGTGATTGCTGATACAGTCTGATTTGAAGGACCTAGCAACTTTTGCTTCTGTTCCTACCTACCTCACCCCTCCAGCTCCACAGTTATGTCTCTTTAGTTGATTATTTTGTCTGAAATTTCATCATTGGGTCCTGGCTTTCCTCTTAAAGGTTTTATATATAGTAACCATGGGAGGGGTTAATGAAATCATTATCTACTAAGAAAGCATAGAGACGGTCTTCTAGCTGTTAGCCAGTAGATAAACAAAATTCTTTCTTCTAGAATAAAATTTTTGGATGTAGATACCAAAAATAGTGCTTTCTAACCTACATTCACTTCAACAGTATTTACTGGCACCATGGATATGCCAGGCACTGGCCCAAGCCCCAAGGATATGGATTAGGAGAGAAAGGAGCCTATTGCCCAAAGTGGAAGCTGGAGGCACCAGAGGGACATGGGACTCTAGTTTCCTAGGGTTGGTACAGAGCAGCCATAGCAGATGTTATAGTGCCCCATGTTTCCCCAGGGGCTTCTGTCAATGCAAAGACAAGTAGACCCTTCTCAGAGAAGGAAAAGAGCATGCCTTTTCCACTTGTGAGTGTTCAGATCTCGGAAGCCATCACATGTAATTCCTGGGGCACCCCATTCATGCCAACTCCAGAAGCTCTTGCAGTAAAGGCCTGGCTTCTAGTAGCTGCTGTTCTGGGTGTGTTGCATAAAGACAATGTTTTCATAACATTTGAAATTGACCTTTCTGAGTTGCTATGAATTCAACAAATTACCAAAGACCTATAACAATAATTTTTAATTTCTATTTCTAGTCTATTCTATTTCTACTATTTCTAGAAACCCAAGGTCTAATCTTAGCTTATTCTCCCCTTGACTTTGGACAAATTACCATTATTCAGGATGTCTCAGTTTTGCCTTCAATATCAGAAATCTGAGCAAGGCGATGTGTGAGTCTCTAGAACCTCTGACCTTCACTTAGTCAAAATTTCCCATTTACCATTCTTACATGTGCCTGCTCTGAGACTATAGATTGCTTTTGCAGACTTTAAAAAAAAAATAGACTAACATTAGAATGTTTTCACTCTAGATCAGTCTGCCAGTTTTAAGAAAAAATTGCAAGTCTGGCTAGACTCTGCCACCACCTAGCAGTGATGTGTGGTCCCCTGTCTATTATTAGTTTCTGAGAGGTGATRAAATGCAGAAACAATGCTCAGCCCCCTTTGTAAATGCTAAGGTGTCATCTTTGGTCTCTTCAGTCGCCACAGACTCAGACCAAGGAATTTGCTTACTAGCTGAGAGTCTTAGGTCTCTAATTAGAGGATAGCAGCTTCTTCCCTTGAAGTCTCTATAATTCTTGGATATTCAAAAATGCTCTTCTGTCTGAAATTTGCCTGCAATTTTAATTACAAATGAAAAAAAAAAAAAGGCACCATGATGCTAAATAATAGCCATGGAGAAGTCATGGCCAGCCCTTGGAGTAGAGAGAATCTCAGAGGCCACAGGTGGCAGCAGACTTGCTTTCTTCATTGGGAGGGAAGAGCAGTGAAGTTCCCAGGGGAACTGTGGAACAGATGGAGGCCCGAAGCTCCACACGGGGCTCCCACGTGTAAAGAAGATCAGCAGTAGCTGGTGGCAAGATGCAGAACACATGACTTTTGTTGGCCCAGCCTTAGAGACAGGTGGGCACAGTGGCAGACAGTGGCCAARACTGTTAAAAACTTGTCAACAGAATAGCTTAAAAGTGAGGCTGGTCCTGTGGGTGCTTCAGCATGCTAACAGGCCCCCGGCAGCCTCCCATATGTTAGATAGCTGTGACATTCTCACTATTTTCTTCATTAGATCAGACTTAGAAGTCACAGGACTCAGTTCTGGAACGTTTCCTTGAGAATGTAGCTGTAGTACAAGAGAAGGAGCATGTGCTGGTTATGCCCATAGGCTGACTAGATTGCCTTGGATCACCCCAGCTCTGTCACTCATCAGCTGTGGGCACATTACTTAATCTCTCTATGCCTCAGTTTTCTCATATGAAAAAAAAAAGCAATAGAATTAGTACACACTTAAAGGGTTATCATAAGGAATCAGTGAATCATGAAAATAAAGTGCTTAGAAGAGTCTGGCACATGGCAAGCATTCAGTCAGTGCTGCTTATTATTATCAGGATATAAGCAGCACAAGGTTAGAGACTTGTCACTTGTTCTTAACTCTATCCTAGGACCTTAAAACATTGCACCAAGTCAGAAATCAATTAATATTTGTTAGATGGTAGTGGGGATATTAATATTTGTTAGATGGATGGATAATGGACAAATGGACAAAGAGAGTTGTGACAATGTTATCTGAGAGGCAAGTCTGAGCATTGAGATGGAAGTACCTTCTTCTGAGTTTCTCAGAGGAGGAGATTTTCACTGTGTGATTTTAGGTATTATACTTAACCTCTCCAAACCTCAGAAACAGCATACAAAAAAACTACTTTACAGAGTTACTTCAAAGATTAAATAATTTGGCCTCCAATCCTTAAAAGTGAGTTGCTTTAGTTAGTAGCCAGCCTGGAGAAAGGAGATCTTGAGCGGGATCAGGAAGAAGGGCACTGGGAGCCTGGTGTGAAGGAAGATGAGACAGAAAACAGCTGCCCACCTGCTCTCGCTTATGTGTGTGGGTCTAATGAATCATTTCCCTTTTGTGCCCTTAACTATCAGAAGTACCTGCTAGAGCGAGATATTGATTCCTAAAAATATTGGGGTAATTACTAGCATACTTAGATTAGGGTACTCACTGAGAACCTAAGGACAAGATAATGTTCTCATTGATATTTACTCCTATCCCTGGCTCCCAAGTCACTCCTCCATCCCTGAGTGGTGGGTGGACAGAAGGGCAGGAATACTTCCAGCATTTCCAGGAAATGGGTGGAGGGTTGAGTCCTTCCTTATGAGCCCCTGTGGGAACCAGAGAAGAGACAAAGAAAGGTTCCTCCTGTAGCAGTTTCCTCCAGCTCATGTGGGTTCCGCATGTGGGAAGAGAGAGTCTTATAGTTTCTTTCTGGCCAGTACCTGTGTTACCACTGGCAGCAGGGAGGGCTTTACCAGTAAGAAGTTTCACAGGTTCACCGTTACTCCCAGGAATTGCAGGTAACTGAAGGACTCAAGGTGGCACAGCAGGAAGTGAAAGCCATGGTATCCTCACAAGCTGTGGAGCCAGCAGGCTGGATGAACAGGAGCTCCCAGCCCTTCACTCTAAGGCCTTTCTGCCCCCTCTGCTCCTACTGTAGCACCCTAGGGAGGTCAGATGAGGGAGAAAATGGGGACAGAATCAACCCCTGTCCCCTAGATGGCCTTGCCAGATAAAATACTACAGAACATCCAATTAAATCTGAAGTTCAGGTCAACAACAAATAAACTTTTAGTGTAAGTGTATCCCCAATATTGCATGGGATATGTTTAGACTTTAAAAACTGTTTAAATTTAGCATCTTGTGTTTTTACTCCCCAATGCTGGCTCGTGTCCTTGTCATGCATACCTTTTCCCAAGCACCTTCCTTTAGCCCATCTCCATGTGGAGGCTGGGTGGCTCCTCACAATCGGTTGGAATATTATTCTAATTCTTTCTTATTTCTTAAGAGGATATTCTGTAGATGGATCAACTTAATCRAACCAGTTTAGCCAGAGAAGTATACTAGAAAAGAAAATAAGTCTTCCAGATTTTTCTGAGTATCCAAATTTGCTGCTCCCCCATAGGCTGGAATGTACTGTTCTTTGCTTCTCAACTAGTCTAATTTCCTTTGTGATTTATTTACAGCCAGAAGAAAAGTGCCAGTCAGAGGTAAGGAACCATTGCTAGTTGAATCTCCTCTTTCACTATTATCAATTATTTCACCCAGCTCAGCCTAGAAACAGACTCCCCAAAGCAAGTAACTGTGCCTTGTCATCTTTAGATTCGCAAACTGCGGCGGGAACTGGATGCCTCCCAGGAGAAGGTTTCTGCGTTGACCACCCAACTGACAGCCAACGTGAGTGCATCTCAGGGTGGGAGCTGCTGGGTTGGGTGGGATGGGAGGCAGCCATTTCTGCCTTCCAAGCATTGCCTCAAGGCCCCCATCTCTGAGTACTTAGAAGTAGCACCGTGTAATAAAGATGGACAACAACTTAACATCATGGATATGACTGTCAGCTTTCACACAAACTGGCTGTGTGACTTTAGGCAAGTTCTTTACCACCTGAGCCTGACTCTGCTCTTCTGTGCCCTCAGGACACAAAGGGAGCCCTTTCGCTGACCAGCAAAATGAGATCCTGTGACTCCTCCGAGCTAATGCGGTTTCTTTCTGAGCTTGTAAAATCACTTTTCTCAGTAGCCTTCTCCGTAGGGTCAAGGTTTTGTTTTCGTTTTTAATTTAATAGAAAATACAAATGTCCCCAACTGGAATCATGGGTGGAAATTAAATGCAGAATTGAAAAAAAAAAATAGAAATTCAGTCATTTAAATTAGGCTTCCCCATTCCTCTGCAGTGCAGAAGTACACTTTAGTCATCCATGTCCTGACCCCTGGCCTTTGTCCACTGTGGAATCGAGTTGAAGCAATAGGCTTTGGTTTTTCAGGGCAAACTAAAGTCCCCCTTACCTATTTGTGCGGTCATGATCAGTGCTTGCAGTAAATTAAGTGCCAGTTTCCTTTCCTTTCTTCTTTCTGAGAATTTCATCCTCAAAGGGGTAGGGGAATGGAAAAGGAAAGAAAAGGATAAAACAGTAGAACTTCAGGGCTCCACAATAAACAGCGAAGCTGCTCTGTAATTATGACATACATGATTACGTGTTCAGGAGACACTGCCAACCAGCATTCACTTCAACAACTGTTTTGTGTGCCAGCTGTGCCCTGGGTGCTGTGAATTCAGCAGCAAAGCAAGCACAGTACTGTCGTCTTAGCATTCAGTCTCTGGTAGAGCAGAGAGACAAAACAAACAACTGGCCCTTGGCATGATAACTATTATGGTAGAGATAAGGGGAGGTGGCTGGGGAATGTATAGGAAGAGCACCACACTCAGTGTTGGTGGGAGTTAGGAGGGAGTCAAAAAAGACTTCCCAGAGGAGGTGATATTTGATGGATGTCATGTAGGAGAGGGTTCACAGGGAGGACAGCGTTCTAACTAAAGAGAGTAATCTGTGCAAAGAAAGGGGAAAGTTCGTGATGCATTTTGAGCTGCAAGTAGCTTGGTATAATTAGAATCTAGAGCTTAGTGGGGAAGAAGGTGTTAAGAAAGGCAAGGATTGGATGTAAGTGTCTTTGAGCTGTTAGGATGAGATCTTGGATTCCTCCTGACATTAGGAGAGACCTGTCCGTGGATTGTAAGCAAGCTGTAAAGTGGTGTAGCTGGTGTTTAGGAAGCGTCCTGGCTGAGGCAGAGTAGAGGTCACTACCTCGACAAGCCCTACTGTGAACTATGACCCAGTGAGGGTGAAGCTCAGAAGGCAGAACCTGAGGTTCCGGAAGGTGCTAAGATGCTTCTGAGACGCGGCTTCCTGCCCAGGAGTTCCCAGCCCAGCCGGAGACCACAGGCCAATGTGTTAAAGTCTGTGAGAAAGCACCCTGTGTGACCCTGAAACACACTGTAAAAATGGAAAGTGACATCAAAGCTTGTTTCTCTTTGACTGGGACACTGAGTCAACACTCCAAAGTAATCATTTACCTGGAGTTTTTGCCCTGGTGATTCCCAGCTTAGCTTGAATCTACTCAAGGAAACCATTTCTCTTTAAAGTCTGCACATGAAGTACATAAAACCTTAATTATAAGCTCAATAATTGGTAACTACCTTCATTATTATTCAGTCTCCCAAGTTCTCTTACCTTTCTGGAAATCTTTTTTTTCCCCCCCAAAACCCTAACACACTGGGCACTGTGTGTTCTATAATCCTTTATTTTCTTAACCTCTTCTACTATCAGTCACAGTATCCAAAGGACATCAAGCATTGATGTGAGAACTGAGTTCTGAGGCCTAGATCATGTTCAAAAGGTAGCAGCAGCACCAGCAGCTTGTGGGTAGATTCTTCATCTTGGTAACCAAATGTATGTATCCAAACCCAGAACTCCCCCCCTGGGCCCAGTGAGCCAGGGTCTCCTGGGTACAATCTAAACACATAAAAATTGACAGAAGCCCCCTCCCAAGTGATTCTGAGCTACTGTCCTAGTTAAGAATGACAGCTGTCAGTTGCCACTCTTTTTTATGAACCAATAAGTAGCAACCAATTTGCTTGTCCATGAACTTGGGTAAATTCCCCCAGTGACCTTGCATTGCCACAGGGAGCCTTATGTGGAGCCATTTGCATGAGCTCTGCTCTCTGTTCCAGAAGAGTTGGAGTGAGATCCCTTAGATGATTCAAAAGTGTGTTTTGTTCCTCATAAAAGCCATTGAACCAGTATTGTTTTAAAGTAAATATTTGGTCTTACCACACACCACCGGCAGTGCTAACGTGTTTTATTGTCTGCCATCTTCTCTCAGACCAAGCTGTGTTTGTTTTTCTAGGACAAACTACTCAAAGCCACCTTCTGTGGGTGTTTTTATACCACTGTGTTTGTTTTCCCTGGGAATGTGAGAATGGGGCTGATGAGGAGGCTGCTTGTGTGGCTCTGAACCAGGCTCCGCGTGGTCTCTGTGGCCTGTATTTTCACAGTTGCCCTCAGGACACAAAGGCAGCCCTTTCGCTGGCCAGCAAAATGAGATCCTGTGGCTCCTCCGAGCTAATGTGGTTTCTCTCTGAGCTTGCAAAAGCGCTTTTCTCAGTAGCCAGGTCTCCGTGGGGTCAAGGTTTTGTTTTCGTTTTTAATTTAATAGAAAATACAAATRCCCACAACTGGAATCATGGGTAGAGATTAAATGCAGAATGGAAAAAAAAATAGAAATTCAGTCATTTAAATTGAGCTTCCCCATTTCTCGGCAGTGCAAAGGTACACTTTAGACATCTATGTCCTGACCCCTGGCCTTTGTCCACTGTGGGATCGAGTTGAAGCAACTGGCTTTGGTTTTGACATGTTTTCCAGGGCAAACTAAAGCATGTATCTTTATTTTAAAATAAAGAGGCATTTTCTCCATTTTCAACAGAGAGGGAGTGCATTCAGAGAAAAACTATTCCATGTGACCTTTCTGTTACAAGTGGCCCTGCTTCCTGCCAACACTTGACCTTCGACCATCGAGCACCCCTGCTTGATGAAGTCTAGTAAATAGAGTGACTTTCTAGGTCCCTTCTTAGATTGAGATGGCACTGACCCTCCTCAGAGACCACCCTACCCTTAATGCCCACTCATCTCTTTCTTCCTCTAGAATTTTATAACCTGATCAAATCTCACTTCTTCCAAGATTCCTCCATGTATCTTCTGCAGGTCCCTGTTCTGGTCCCTCCTTACTCCTCTGTGTGTCTGCTCCCTAACCCTACACCTGTGTTCAGGTGACGCATCTCCTCTCGTAGTTTCTTCTTTCATTTCCTCATTTCCAAACCTCTTTCTTTGCACACAGTGCTTGTTCATCTCTGTGTTTTGCAATTCCTCAACAGTTTGTAGACCACTTTCACCTGTCTTATTTCATGTGGTGCTCAAAATAACCCAGGGAAGAAAATAGATGTTATTTATAGATGAGAAAATTGAGGCCATTAGGATTAGACGATTTGCTCAGCATTATGGGTAATCAAAAGGCATGAGAGGAAACACCAAAGACCTCTCGCTCTAAATCCCGTTCCCTCCCCTGGGCCACACAAGCACCTTCACCCAAGTGCTTTTTTTTTCAATCTTTTATTTGCCCACGCAACACATTTATCTTGTGGCAGCTTTGTCCCAGCAGGGACTCAGGGAAGAAGAAAACAGACCTGGTGTCACCCTCTATCAAGGGTGTGGTCTGACAATCCATCTCTTCTGCTGCCCAAATGCCTCTAACCAGAAGACCGCCACTATTTCATTTATACAAATAAAGTTTGGAAGTTGGACAGTCCTGGTGAATTAATGGATTCTTAATTTGATTATTAGAAATTCCTTAACATGACTGAAAATGCATCCACTCTTCATTCTTGGTTTTAATGATGTTAACAGGATCCCCATTCAACCAGCTTTTCAACTACTTACTAATCTGCATCCCAGGCAGGAGGTTTAGTACTGGGAGGCAAAGTCACCTCTTAACCTTGAAGGGGGACTTACAGAGTCCCCCTTCATGCATGAAAATGCCACAGTTCTCAACTCCACCATCCATGGGTCCCCCTACAGACACACACATTGTTAACATCTCTGAAAACTGGATGCATGTTTTAATTGTAATTGGCTACATTTTTTAAAATGTCCTGGTGATATGTAAAGTCATAGCATATCTGATGTTGTTTTCTAACAGAAGCATATGAAAATGCATAGGAGCCTGTGGGAAAGTCATAACCCCTGGGGAAACTAGGAGAGGTTTCTCCAGGGAGGTAGCAGATGGGCCTTTCAGTGGCTTTTTATTAACCAGGATTATAACAAGCAAAATATGTCAACCATTTGTTTATTCTACATACATGCTTCGTATGAGTTTGGCACTTGCTGAACAAAATGGGAAGTGATCATCCTATAGTACAGAATGAAGTCTTAGAGAATGCAGACACACAGCAGTTGTCACAAGACCCCATGGTTTTTGTTTGATTTTCTTTTCTTTTTTTTTTTTTCAGTACTGGGGATGGAACGCAGGGCCTCGTGCATGCTAGGCAGGTGCTCTACTACTGAGCTACATCCCCAGACCAAGACCACATGTATTTGAACTACAATTTCACAAAGCTTATGCCAGAAGGACAGTGGCTTATGAGAGTGAATATGAGGGAAACTACCTAGTCTGAAGTTGTCACGGGCATGTCATGAGACCTTTTGACAGACACATCAAAATTAGGCAAGGAAGGGGCAGGAAGAACATTCTGGGCAGGAGGGAATGGAGGCACAGCAGCCTGAAGTGGGAAGAAGCACGGGATTTTGAGCAAATGAAAGGTAGAGTAACTGATCCCAAAGAGTGGTGGGGAGTAAGAAGAGTGGGAGATAAGGGTGGGGTCAGGTCAAGTGGCCCCAGTAAGACTTTTTTGACCTGAAGACCTGGCACCTCTTGGGCATTCTTGCCCAGCAGGGTTACATGGCTGAGGTTGTATCTTTCTCCTCCAGGCTCACCTCGTGGCAGCCTTTGAACAGAGTCTTGGAAACATGACCATCAGGCTCCAGAGTCTAACCATGACAGCTGAGCAGAAGGTAAGACACGCTGCCTTTTGTTCCTTGCAATAAACCTAAAACCATTCTCTTTAATTTCAGATAATTACATAGATTGGAATATACTTCTTGAACAAGAGAATTTAAATATCAAATAACCAGGCATGGTGGCACATGCCTGTAATCCCAGAGACTCATGAGGTGGAAGCAGGGGGATCACAAGTTCGAGGTCGGCCTTAGCAACTTAGGGAGACCCTGTCTCAAAATAAAAAGGGCTAGGGGATGTAGACCAGTGGTAAAGCACCACGGGGTTCTATCACCAGAATGAAAGAAAGAAAGAGGCAGGAAAAGGGAGGAAGAAAAATAGGAAGGAAGAGGGGACAAGTTGAAGGTAAATCTGTTGAGTAAAAATATCTTAGATCAGTGATGATCTGACAGATCTCAGGGTCCCATGCCCACTCCTTTTATGTATTCCTCTCTGGTCACTGAAAATTGATCCAGATTCATGTAGCCTACGAAGGTTCTGCTGAGCTCCTGTGTTTCCTACCCTGCTCTTTGGAAGCCAGGTTATACTTCCCTTGAGCTCTGTAGAAAGTGATTTTAGGATGACCCATACATCTTTCTCGTCCTCAGGATTCAGAACTGAATGAGTTAAGAAAAACCATCGAGCTGCTCAAGAAGCAGAATGCAGCTGCCCAGGCTGCCATTAATGGAGTAATTAACACTCCAGAGCTCAACTGCAAAGGTAAAGTGAGAAAGAACGTTTAGAGAAATGGCCCGCCCACCCTTGGCAGCCTCCCCTTGACAGCACTGACACAACCCCCCTGCTGGAGGTGGCTGGCTTGGAATCCAGCTCTGTGTCTGCCAGGCAGGCCCAGGAGGCAAGCACCTTGCATCTGGTTGCTGCTGGCTTCTCAAAAGACTGCTAGCATAGCTCATCCTCTTCTCTGATGTCTCTCAAAAAAGGAAGAAAATAGCTTTGTGCTGGCTGTCTAAGTGTTTTTATAGACCTTAACTTCACTCACACTTCCATGTTTCCATGTTGACATGGGAGAAACTAAAATGGGCTCCTCTTTTACTTGTCCCAGAAAACTTTCCAGATAAATTATTTTGGTTGCATCTTAGTTGGGGGTTAAAAAAAAAAATGAACATGCAGGTAAGTTACCTCCTATAATCATAGTACCAACAGTAACCATGCTGGGGGTAATGTTGATAGCTAGCACCTGTGGAGTAGGTCAACTGTATTCTGAGCCCTGTGCTAAAAGTGTTTTCATTGTTCTATTCATTATTTTGCTTTATTTTGCACAATGACCTTATCAGTGTCATGATGGTCCTCTCCTCATTCTGTTGATGGGAGTACAGAGTTTGAGAGAGAGCAGTGACTTCCTGAGGTCAGAGAGTGAGTAACAGAAGTGAGGCTGGAACCTGCATCTGATTAAAAGCTGGTTCTTTTAAGGACAAGGCTTTGGATATAGTTCTGTCCTCACAAAGAAAGCAGCCTGTGTGGTTTGAGGAATAGCTGTTACATTCAGTATCCCTGTTCGCTTGGATATTGGGCCTCCTAAATGAAGTGATAGTAGAGTTGAAATGGGAAGAGTTAGCAAGAGTTGGCCAAACAGAGTTGAAGGAAAGGAGAACTGCAGAAGGAGGGCATGTGGAAGGCCCCTGAGCTGAGGTGGGCTTGGCACTTCCAAGGGGCAGAGGGGAGCAAGTGTAAAAAGAGCATAGAAAGCCAGCGAGCAGGTCTGGAGCTGTGGCTCAGTGGTAGGGTACTTGCCTAGCATGCACAAGGCCTGGAATTCAATCCCCAGTACTACGGAATAAATAAATAATGAAGCAAAGAGGCAGAGACAGCTAGCAGCAAAGGTGACTGCTGCTGCAATTCAAACAGTATTTTCCAGCCCATCTGTGGATTTAAAGAGATGGCATCAGGGACATTCTCCCTGAGGCTACTTTGACTTCTGTTTTGAAAGTGGGAAGATAGACCCAGTTTAATTGACCAAAGACAGCATAGCAACCATCTGCTCAAGGAACCCAACAGTGGGAACAGAGGAGATGTCGCAGGACCTGGCAGTCCCGAGTGTATGGATTTCAGATCGAGGGCCACGCTCAGGGACCAAAGATTAGGCTCAAGTCATCAGGTGCTGACATGCCCTGCCTTGTTCTCCAGGAAATGGCACCTCCCAGCCCACGGACCTCCGCATCCGCAGGCAGCACTCCTCTGACAGCGTCTCCAGTATCAACAGTGCCACCAGCCACTCTAGTGTGGGCAGCAACATAGAGAGTGACTCAAAGAAAAAAAAGAGAAAGAATTGGGTGAGTGTACATCCACAGAGGCTCCTAGGGACTAACCAACAGAGTCCATCACAGAGCAGTGTCCCCCAGATAAAGCCCAGGCTGACTCACCCTCAGAACCATAGGCCTCTGGGAGTAGATCCAAGGAAACAGGTCTTTATAAAAGTCATTGTGGTACACAACAGAGCCCTAGCATTTATAAAATCACCACCACCTTATGGTCTTTCTCTTTCATGAAACTTTATGTGGTGTACTCATCTTTCATTTTATATATGTGTCATTTCTTCTCATTCTATGTTGGCCACAGAGAGCAAAGTTACTCTTAAGTGGCTTCTTCTTAGTTTCAAAGTATTTTTTTGATCCTATACAAGTAGTTAAATATTCTTAATCATATTCTTGATTTGTTTATTTGTATAGTTGCCTAGAATGGCATAAAACCAACCTTCTCTTTTAAAAATTTTTGACTATGATGTATACATAAAAGTTTCATAAGATCCACATCAGGAGTTGGAGAGCAGTTCTAAGCTAGAGGTTACACCTCAGGATGGCAAGTTTAATAGGTCTGTTCCCACTGCAGTGTTTCTCTGTGTCCATAATCCCAATGAGCTACTTGATTTTCCGTACTATGCTTTTAAAAATAGTTTTCCCTGCATTCCTGGGGAATTTGACTCCCTTCCCCTCATCCAATTTGGAGTCCTGCTATGAGGCTTCAAAGCACTGGGTGACATTTGCTACTCCCTGTCTTCAGTGCAGGACTACCCCAAGTGGGTCTGAAATTGGCCCCTTTTGTCAATGCTGACAGCATCCTGTGTCCATGGTGGCTTTGGTGTCCTCATTCATTCCATACACTTCTTGCTCATTTTGTGTTATCTTGGATGGGTGGCGAGGTCTAGTGATGGAGAAGTTGGGGATTTAGTCATTTTGGTATGGATCACTTGCCTTTGAGGCAAGGTAAAGGTCTAGCTCAGTGTGGCCTTCTCATTATTCTGAATAATTTTTTTTAAAGTTATTAATAGCTTTTAGTCTTTTGCTATGACTAAACAGATAGAATTAACTCCTTGTCATCTCTAATATGCCATTGATAAATATAATATTAGATTATTAAAATAATAAGAAGGGATTATTTTCTATGAAAAATAGTTGTTCCCTATTTTCTTCAAATCAAGAAACAAAATTCTGTTTATGTTACATTAAAGAAAACTCTTGGACAGTGAAATCAGGTGGACCCATGATTGGCATTGTCACCTTATCCCAAAGCTTAATTCTGTCTAATCTTGGTAATCTCCTCTTCCACCTGGCATTTTATCAGAGGTAGAGACAAGGGTTTAGTTTGTTGGCTTGTGTGCCAAGTGCATCTTTTTCTCTCTAGGAATACCAGAAGTAGAATATGAGAAAGCAATGGGATTTTGTTTATCCATAAGTTGGACGTGCAGTTTGTTAGAGATGAAACACAATCATGGGAGAGAAACCTCATCAATTTGCCAAATGGCCTATTTTTTTAATTTCTCAATAGCTAAGAAAAACACTGGAATATATTTTCAGTAAGAAAAAAGAAAATTATTTTTTAAAAGACTGTTCTTCAAAACATAATTTTTTTTTTTTTGGCTTAGAAAAATACATGCTACCCATGGCTTACAGAGAAGTACATTTAACTCTTTAGATTCTCAAAGTTTCAGGCCCATCCCCATGGTTTGGGGAAATTATGCTAGTTTCTCTTGTCCAATATGGTTATTAGATTTCTAAATTAATTTCCACTTCTTGAGTGATGAGTGAGATGGAGAGTTCCCTCTTGCTTGTGTCTTGTGAAAGGATTGCAGGAGCTCCCCAGATAGAGCCAAGAGCCATACGACCATGTAGGGCCAGTGACACCATAAAGCTGCCTTTGCTCAGAAAAAGGACATGTCCCCTTCCACCAAATTAATTCCTGGAAAGACCACTGATAAGAGGCAGGCAAGGGACGACAAGCATAGGAAGGTGGAAGCCACCATTTCAGTCAGACAGGGAGAAGCTGGAAGAGCCCAGATTATGGGGTACACCCCAACCCACTCTTCCTTTCTTTTCTTAATGGAGGAAGATGTCCCCAGTGCCACTGAAGGTTCGCATTCCTACTGGAAACCTCATGTGTGTGTGGTGTTTATTATTAGCCATGTTGTGTCTGAAAAGTCCAAAGCTTTCCCTGTCACTGGCTTTCTCTGTTAAAAATTGTCTTTTTTCCTTCCCCTTCCCCATTTTTGCTTGCGTTTTCTCTGGCAGGTCAATGAGGTAAGCAAGACCAACTTTAATATCAGATACCAAGCTMACCCATCCATTGATATGACTAACCTCATCCGCATCCGTCTCCGTGTCTGAGCATCCTGCTTTGTTGCTGTGCAGCCTCATCCTGCCCACACCCCTCTGCTGAGCCAGGCACTATTTTGCTGTTGGTGTCTAGTCTTGAGCCAAGAGTAGGCATGGAATGTTCCCACAGGTCCAGTCCTCTGAGCTGTCAACACCAGATAACTCTTCTTCCCTTAATGCACTGATTCGAGAGAGCTGTGGGGAGCCTTTTCCATTGGTGGGGGAAGAAGTGGGAGAATGAAATATTCTCTTGTATGCATGTCTCTGTTTAGCCAAGGCCTGAGCATTGGCTGTGGCTCCCAAAAAGCTGACAGTCTTGTTTGTTCAGTTACGCAGCTCCTTCAAGCAAGCTTTCGGGAAGAAGAAGTCTCCCAAGTCAGCATCCTCTCACTCGGACATTGAGGAGATGACAGATTCTTCTTTGCCTTCCTCACCAAAGTTGCCCCATAATGGATCCACGGGCTCCACTCCTCTGCTGAGGAATTCTCACTCCAACTCTCTGTGAGTATCTCCTCTGGGGCCTTCTTAGACGATAGACAAGTCTGGGGAGTCTTGTTCTGATTCACCTGCCCCTTGGGCTCCTCTGCGATCTAATAGGATTTTGCGTGTTCTTCCAGTGTTTGAGGACCATGGAGGCTGAAAGAGGAGGAAACTGAGGCTTTAGTTATGGTGGTATCAGTGCCCATAATTAATAGCTAGTCTTAAGCAAGCTGCTCGCTTCTCCTGTCTCCATTTCTTTGTATGCCAAATTCAGATAATGACTGTTATCTACTTATCCTGCCATATGGATTGAACAAGATTAATGGACATAAAAGAGCTAGAACCATTTTGTTTTGAGGGAAAGATGATGTTCTGAGTATTGCCAGTTTTTGCTGAATTCTGGTTCATTTGGGTGATAAGACTTATATACATTTCTTCTTTGATCAAATTTGTTGTTAACTCTTTCTGGAGGTAACAACTCAGAAACTGGATATTTTTAAAAATGGAGAATTCAATGATGGTTCTCTTTATCAAAGGATGCTATAGTATAGAAAAATCATTCATGACCCCTAGCAGATTTAACATGGCATGAGGCAGTTTGTCCATCTTTCTTTAGGGACACAGCTGGGTTTTTTCAGGTATTTAGGTGCTGTTCCCTGTGTCGACTGGTTACACAGAGAAGAGTCATTTTCTTGCTCAGCCCTCCTCCCATGGTTCCCATGATGCACTCGCCTTCTTTTCCTCCATCTGGGTATTAGGGAGGCAGTCCTATCCCTATCTAAGGACTCAAGGCCCAGCCTCCACTGTTATAACAGTGTCTAAAACAAACAAAGTTCCTTCTGTTTCACCCTCTCTCCTATGGGATGGAGGTGGACATTAAACAGAGAATCCTGAGTAAACTAGAACAGTCAGATAGTACTAAGGGTTAACACTGAGAATGAAAACAGTGCTGGGATGCACAGTACCTTGGCAGCAACTTTAGATGGTGGTCAGGAAAGGCCCCACTGAGGAGGTGACATTTTAGCTGAGATCTTTATAACAGGAGGAACCACTGGTTAGTTCTGGTCAGTAACACTAGCTGCTGTAACAAACCCCATCCCAAAACTCTGTGGCTTTTCTTAACACTGTTCATTTCTGGCTCACTCCAAACCCAATGCAGACATTCCTAGTCAGCAGGCAGTGTGCCCTCCTGGAGTCCTCAGCTCTGTACTATGTCCAGCCCACTAGGGCTGAAGAGGGGAAGAGTGCAGAAGATCCTACAGGAGAGTTGGATGGGCATCGGCCTGGAAGAGGTGCATGTCCTCAGTCCTGCAGTTCACTGACCAGGACTCAGGGCTGTACCACCTGCAGAGGAAGAAAAGAAGGAAGTGGGTGCTGGTGAACACAGATGGGCCTTCCTAAGAAATAAATAGCACAGGAAATCTAATGTGGAAGCAAGCTGGATGAGTCTGAGAAAGAGGGATGACCAGTGTGGCCACCACAGGATGGTCAAGGGGCAGAGTAATAGAAAGAGAGGCCTCAGAGGTAGGCAGGGCCTGTGACATGGAAGAATCTGAAGTCCAAGTGAAGTTGACCTGATTTTGWGTGCAATGGGCAAATTTGGAGAGTTTTAGGGAGAAAGGTGAGATTATCTGAATCAGTGTTCTATGGGTAAGGAATGTCCAGGAACAAGGAAGATCACTGGTTCACACTACTCTGGCCATAACACTTCTACCTTAAGGCCTTTGCCGTCACTGTGCCCCCTACCTGGTATGCTATTCCTCTTGATAGTCACTTCCTCAGGTCTCTGCTGTGTATCTACAAGGCTTGGCCTGCCAGACATGGTGGTGCACACATATAATCCCTGCATCTCAAGAGGCTGAGGCAGGAGGGTTGCAAGTTCAAGAATAACCAAAGCAATTTATCAAGACCGTATCTCAAATTTTAAAATTAAACAAAAAGGGCTAGGGAAGTAGCTGAGTTGTGGAACACCCCTGGGTTCTGTCCCCAGTACAAAAACAACTCCCCCCACCAGCACACCCTGTCACCCCCTTTCCCCTGCTTCATTTTTCACCATTGCACATATTGTCATCTGATGTATGGACTTCGTTGGTTTCAGTTTTTTGCCTTTTGTTCCTCACCTTACCCCCAAATCTACAATATAAACTCTGTGGAGGTAGCTACTCTATTGGCTTTGCAGGTATTCAAATATTTGGTGGAATGAATGAGTGACTGTGATAGTGATGAGTCTTTGATGTATTTAGGTCTGAAAGAAAAATTGACAGCACGGGTGATGGTCAGATGTGATGTGTGAGGGAAAGAGAATAATTATCCTTGGATATTCCTACAGTGGCAGCTTATGTAACTGGGACAAAGGAAACCCAGATGGGGGTGAAGAGGGACTCAGGAGCTGCGATCTGGCTGTGTTAACTGAGAGATGCTCAGGAGACACTCACATGGAGGATCCAGCCTGCCTGGAGTTCCTGGAGGTGTAGATTCAGGAGCCACGAGCTCCCGGTGGGACTGAAGGCTGAGACACTGGAGTTCTCCAAGAGTTTGAATGGAGATGAAGAAGAGCAGAGAGGCAAGGACTGAGCTCTGGGGCACAACTGATGTTTGACGTTAAGGAAGAGAAAGTAGAGCATCTAGTGAGATGGGAGGAAACCCAGAAGTAGAGAGAAGAAACTGCTTAGAGGCACAGAAGCAGGAGAAAGTTGGCCACTTGCTGCTGGGAGGCCAAGTCAGAGAGTGACAGTGATGAAGTTAGCTGTATGGACCAAGAGCAAGAGCACTTCTTCCAGACCACTGTCCCCTTAGAGATGGGGCAGGGCTGCTCTTTACTCCCCTCCCTCCCTCCCTCTCCCCCTCCCCTCCCCCTCCCCCTTCCTCCCTCCCTCTCTCTCCCCCCCCCTTTCTTTCTTTCTTTCTTTTTTTTTTTTTTAAATACATTCCACAGTCTCCATGGGTAGAGATGTTTGGTTTTGGTCTAGTTTTTCCAAAGGGTGGGCTGAAAGAAAAATGCTTATTTCCAACCTTGAAAGGTTTGTAAGAATGTGCAGATCGAGATGTGAGAGGGAGTTCAAAGAAGAAAYCAAAGGCAGAGGAGTTGGGCCTCACCCCGTGGGAGAAAGGAATGGCAGCTGGAAGAAGGCAATGTTTCCCACCCTTGGGCGTTTAAAATTAGGTACACCACCAGCCCTGCCTTTGGATGAAATAGGGGGAATCTGCCAGAATAACGGGTTAGAGACTGAAAAAGCCTCCACCAGGTTGATTGAGTAAGTGGTCCACAAAATGGACAAGGATGTACTCGGAGCCGCTGGGTGCAGTTCAGGAGCATGCATTGTAGAGTTAAGAGGACRCGTTGAGTTTGATCCTGACTCTGTTATCCTTAGTATGACCTTGGACATGTTAATCTCTATGGCTTACCCTCCCCATTTTCAAAATGGATGTTATTTTAGAACCTCTTCATGGAATTAGTAATATATGAAGTGAATGAAACAGTATCAGACACTAGAGTAACTGGAGTCCCACAGGAGCCAGTATCCAAGTACAGAATAAGCTAGCATTAATCTAGTTGGGGAAGGAACCAAGGGAGAAGGGAGACTGTCTCAGACAGTAGGGATAGGCACTAAAACCTGGTTGGGGCTGGTGCAGAGGAACTTGTTTTCAACAGCAACTGTATCATGAGGCATCCTCTCCCACGGCCCCAGCATTGTGTGCTTCTGAAAGCTGGCTGATTTTGGAGAAACCTTGTGCTCCCAACACAAGTTTTCTTCATTTTAGTTTGCTTCCCTTTTTGTCTTAGACTATTTCCTATCACTAAAACGGGTATTACATCACTGGGTAATGTATAAGGAGTAGGAGTTTCTTCAACTTACAATCCTTGCACGTGGTGCCGGCTACTGCTCAGCATCTGGTAAGGACCTTCTTGTGGGTCATGGCAGGGCAGAAGGCATCTGGTGCAGTGATGCAAGCTCGCTCACTTGGTCTGTCTTCCTTCTGATAAAGCCATGAATGCCATCGCTGGGCCTCACTCTTGTGACCCTCATGGATGATCTCCCAAAGCCCCCCACCTCCAGATCTCATTAATATATGATTTTGGGGGGTTTTGAAGCAAACAGGTACCCAGACCTATGGCACTCTTATGAAGTCGCTGATTGGCTAAGCTTTGCAAAGTAATCCATATGACATAATCCACAAAGCGGGTGCCAAGGAAATGTCATCTTTCTTGCTGAGAGAGCTTTCTGGGGAAAAAATACAGATGACATGGAGGAGGCTCGAGGGAGCCTGGCTGTGGAGCGCTGGGGGGACCCGTCTGGCACAATGAAAACCAGCACAGACTGTTCTCCACCATGAAGGGGAGACCTCAGTATCAGTGCAGGGCATGGTTTGGCTAAGACCAGAGTATCACAGTGGAATTTTTTTCAGACTTGACTGTGTTTAAACCATGAAACTATGGTCCTCTCAAGAAACAACCAGTTTTTATAAGCTCCCCCTGCAAACCTGAATTAACCAAAAAGCAAAAAGTTCAACTTGAAAACCACAGACTATTCAAAGCTCGGAGAGCTGGGTGGAAGGGATGTTCTGAATTCTAAAGGCATTTCTATYACTCCAACCCTTTTAGCCCCCAATCTGTTTGCTTTAAGTTTCTCATAGATATGGAATGGCACTAATAACATTTTTACAAGTTCCTTGCATTTTTTCAAGATTTAGAAGCCAAGAAGCTTCCTTGGTTGCTCACTTTTAAAACCAAGAGGTGGTTTTACTTTCTTTGCCTCTCTCAAATCAAAACAGTTTAGGTGCAGGTCAAGAAAACAGCACCAGAATGGTTCAGCTGTTCAAGTGTTAAATTTTTCTTCTGGCTCCTTCTGTGCCCCAAAATACAATGACATCTCTTTTAAAAGTTTTATAAATAATTTTCCTGGGGTGATTAAAATTTCCACCCCTTCAACCAGTTTTACAGGTTAGGTTTTGTTTGGCCCCAAATCCAGCACTCGGGTCTTGGCGAGCAGGCTCACAAGCTCAGAAGCTCCCTGCCACAGAACAGAGGCTGCGTGTTCCCTGTCCCTTCCCTTTTCACACACAGTCAGCTTCAGCTSTGTAGCTTTTTGAACTTGGGGAGGGTGTTGACAGTCCCCACCCCACCCCATCTTCAATTCAAAAAGTGTCAAAGCCTTCTGTCCTGGATCACTCAGTACCCCAGATCCTGTGATGTTTGGAATTCATGGAACTTTTTTTTCTGTTTTAATAAAACTATCTTTTTGAACATTGCAAGTCATCACAACTTTTATGGTCTCCTGCTTTGTACAAACCTGCCAGGAATCTGAAGACAAACCTAACCAAGTAAGCAGTCCAGCCTAGCCTTTTTTAAATAAAAAGGCTCTCAGCAAGGTCCCACAGTCACTTTAACTTGATATACATCCAGGACTGGAAGATAACTAGCCACGCTGTTGCTTGGCTTTCCGATGGAAAGCCCCCAGGTCCACTCTAGTCACTAATTCCCCGAAGCTGATCTTTTGCCTGAAGTATGTGGGGGTGATGGAGGTTGATCTCTCTAGAATGAGATAAGATGAGCTTCTTCCCATATCTTTAGGTTTCTTCCCCCTTTTTTTGGCCAATAAAAATAACCCCTCGGCTGTTTAACCTTGGAGTTCTCTCATCTTGAAAACAGATAGTTGGCCTCAATTCTCTGAGTTTAGAATTCAGAGGCTGCATGGTGTCATTAGGGGGTCCCAGCCATGTACACACTGAGGAGTGTTCAAATGCCCAGGGTTGCTATTCCCTTTACCAGCTCCTGCTTATGCCTCAGTTATTGTGATTTTTGCTGGCAGGTGCACCTGAGCCATTCTGATTGCCAGAGCTCTGCAAAGAAATATTGTAGAAAGTAATAAAATCTGTAAATTTTAGGTGCTCTTGGTATTGTCACCTTTAAGAAGCACCAGGAAGGTAGTCGTGCAGAGTTACTACTGAACAAACTTGATGATTGATGTGGGCCACTAGTCAGTAGGGGACTAAAAGGAGCTGGATTCAGAATTGCTTCTATTAGTGACATTCCCCCTTTCCCTAGAATTTCGGAGTGCATGGATAGTGAAGCCGAGACGGTCATGCAGCTCCGAAATGAGCTGAGAGACAAGGAGATGAAGCTCACGGACATCCGCCTAGAAGCGCTCAGCTCTGCCCACCAGCTTGACCAGCTCCGGGAGGCCATGAACAGGATGCAGGTGAGGGTCCAGAAGGGTGGACTGGGCCCAGGGTTGACTAGGAAGGAGCTCCAGGAGGCTGCTCTCTGCCAAGCCCTGAGGGCTACATCGGAATCTGGTAGCCACCCTCTGCTTTCCTAGCCCCTTTCTCTTTTCAGTCACTTCCACATATTGCTCAGTTTTCTTAAAGAAATAAGAATAAGAACAATTATGCCCCTTTATGCAGAAGAATTTCAGTGGCTCTCCTGCTGCTTCTTGCAGTCTCCTTTGGGACTTAAGGCCTTCTATGGGCCCCTTTTTACTCTTAACCCACACCCTCCCCATTCCACTTTTCATCCTCCACTCAAAGGCCAGATGGAGCCATGAATGGTTTCCTCAACAAACCCTGGGAGTTGCTGTTCCACACCATTCCCTCCACTKGGAATATCCTTCTACACATCCCAATTGAACCCTTCCTCCAAGGTTCAGCCTGTCAGGTCCTGCAGCTGGAAGTTAGTGCCCTCCCGGAATCAGTGTAGGTTGGTTCTTGCAGGCATTCCCATCATCTGCCAAGGTAGAAAGACATTTGGATCTTTGTTTTTGTAAAGTAGTTATGAAATGAAAGATTCCTGTGGGTATACTGAATGGAACCTCAGTGGAGAGCAGCATTTCCCAAAGTTGGTTCCCTGAAACATTTGTTCCATGAGAAGCTCTATGAAAGAAGAATGCCCTAATCAAGTGTGTTGGGAAATGCTGCACGTCATGTGCCCTTCTCAGACTCATAAAGCACAGCAGCTCATTAAAGACCTTGACAAGTCCCACAGTAAAGAAACCTGTCAAACCCAGAGTGACCCAAACCTCTTAGATGACAATTCTTTTTCACTGAACACCCAAGCAGCAGACTGTGGGAAAGTCAAKTTTCTGAGTGCTTCTTCTCAAAGGCCAGTTCTCTGCAATGATGGAGCCTGCCCTGCCAGATATGTTGTRTGTATATAGTGAAGGGTGGCATTACCTGAGGGTGTTACCTACCTTGTCTAGGCTCTCCACTGGGTTCCTGCAGGAACTTCCAGATCCTTTTTCTAGAAAAGGCTTGTTCTCATGGCATCCTCCTAATGAGTGCAATTCTCCCTTACTCTTCACAGAGTGAAATAGAGAAGCTGAAAGCTGAGAACGACCGGCTGAAGTCAGAGTCTCAAGGCAGTGGCTGTAGCCGGGCCCCCTCCCAGGTGTCCATCTCGGCCTCCCCAAGGCAGTCCATGGGCCTCTCCCAGCACAGCCTGAACCTCACTGAGTCAACCAGCCTGGGTGAGTGGCTCTCAGAGCTGGGGGCAGGCCTGGACCTGCAGCTGGCGCTCTGGTCTCCAAGCAGGTGCCCCAAGATAAGCAAGTCAACAGATCAAATGGAGAGGCAACAGGCGTGTGTGAACTTGGGGTGTGTGTGTGTCTGGGTGTGCGTCTGCTACCAACATGAACCCAGCCATTAGAGTGCTCTCATGCTTTGCTCCAGCGCCCCCAATTGTCCCAGCCGTGAGCTCAGACCCCCTTGCCCACCATGCTGAGCTATTTGATTCATTTTAAGAGGCTGAGTGCTACAGACACACCCCCACAGCAGCAGGCCCCAGTGGGGTGATGGCTTGGCCCATGGTCTTCCTGCCTTCCGGATGGTTCCAGCTGGCGCATCATCAGTGAACATGACCTAGGTCCTCCTTGTGAGCATATTGAGGCTGATGCTTTTATTTTTTATCCATGATGCTGCTGCTGCTGTCGTTGTGGTTCAGTTTCTCCCCGCACCTCCATTTGGCAAGATGCACCATCAGCCTGCTGGTTCCTTGGTTGGTCCACCGCTGGTTTCTGTGGTTGCATTCTCCATTCTGCCCCCTCCCCACCCCCTCCCTCACCCTACTTCCCCTGCACCCCGACACCTGGTTTATCCCGCTGCTGTGCCAACAGGCAGCGGGGGTGTCAGGAAGCCAGCTTTGCTATCCCCATGTGCCTAAGGCTGTTGATGTTTTCCATTCGCAGACTTGTTGCTGGATGACACTGGTGAATGCTCGGCTCGGAAGGAAGGAGGCAGGCATGTTAAGATAGTTGTCAGCTTTCAGGAGGAAATGAAGTGGAAGGAGGTTAGTTGGATCCCTTTCCCTGCTCTGCCTGTTCCTTCCCCAGGTAGAACTACCTAGCTTAGTGACTAATTGTGGAACTGTCTCACTTCCTAGCCTAAGGTGATTTGGAAATAGTACTAACGCTTTTCTTTATACAGTAGTCCCCCCTTATCCATGAGGGAGACGGTCCAAGACCCCAGCTGGTGCCCGAAACGGCAGATAGTACTGAACCCTAGAGGCATTAGTTTTTTTCCTAGATATACAAATCTAGGAAAAAGTTTAATGTATACRTTAGGCCCTTTAAGAGACTGACAATAACTATTATCAAAATAGAACAATTATAACAATATACTGGGTGGACCGCAAGTAACTGAAAACAGAAAGCAAGATCTCAAATAAGTGGAGACTACTGTAGCCACCACCCCAGTAGCCCCCTGACCCCATGAAGGTGAGCGAATGGCACTTCCCTCCCCCATGTTTGTACTAACGAAGTGTACTAAGGACAGTCCCGCACTGCACTTTCCTGTAATTAACTAAACACTAACATCCGCAGAAATGTCTATTCTGAGTTTAATGTATTCCCAAAGCACTTCCAGTACAACTCAGCACATTTAGCACGTAAGGTATGGAGATAAGTTAACTGGAATCCACTGGCCAGAAACACTTAGTTTTCTCTCATCAGAGCCTGCAGACAGAGAGGCAGACAGAGAGGTAGCTGAGCGTGGAGCTGGTGGAGCATCCTGTTTTCTGAGTACAGTTTCCATACTAGAGTCTACACTGCTGCCAGAGAAGTGGGTGCAGGTGGAGGCTGACAATAAGAGTTGCATATTTGTAATTAAATTCCAGTGCTGCTCTCTGAATGACCTTGGCCTAAGTGAGTGGGAAAAGGCCTCATGACTCACCATTGCAAGTCCCTTTGAATTTTTAAATTTTTACTTCTTAGCATTTCTAGCCAAAATGTTCTTCTATACAGTTTTAGAGAGCTAGAGAACCTTCTGTGACCTTCTAAACAAAATATCTGCAGGCAGACTGCTTTGCCAGGGTTTCCACTTCATGGTTGGCTCATAATCCTCGCTGAGTTGGATTAAGTCCTGAATTTTGGAGCTTCCAGGGGTGTTAGTATCATGTGACCTAGAAAGATACATCAAAGAGGTCCATTTGCAGAACCCGGCTAGTGGAATTACAGTCACCAAGAGAGAACTTCATCCTTATAGTATTCCTATAGGAATTGCAGAGAGTCCTGCAAACATAATGTCTTCTAGTGATCCTCAATGGGAACAGAGAGCGTTTAATTTTTCCAGTTCACAAGTCACTGTCAATAGTTATTTCCTTCTGGATCACTACGCATCAGGTGAGGTTGGCTAACCAGGGGTTATTATCCATCTTACAGCTGAGAAACCAAGACTCACACATCACTTATTTGAGGCCACAGGCAAGTGGTGAATGGGGTCAGGTCATCTCAGCAAGACTGGGGCTCTTTTCTCTGCTATTTTGCTTGACTGCCAGCTGCTCCCTCCCCTCCACCCACACCATCCCTCTCCTAACTGTTGTTGTGAGCATGTGAGATAATTAAAAACCCAACAGAATGGAATGTTCTATCAGTTTTTCTTTAATCAATGTGATTTGTTAGCCCCTGTGGGCATAGATGCAAAAGAAGTAGATTTTTTTTTGGCCATATTCCCAGAGTTTGAGTTTTCTGAATTGAGCATGTTTTCCTTTTAATAAGAAAAGTAATGTTATTAAAAATCAAAAAATAAGAAAAGAGAAAATAGAAGTACATTTTGTCTTGAACAAGTTCTAAGATCTAGCAAGGAAACAAAGTTGATTTTAAAAATAATAAGACAGAAATAGCTAAAATTGAATATAAGCAAGTACAGAATATGTTATTATATATGTTATGTCCTGAACCTTTGGTGCTTTGAGCCAGGTGGTGGATTGCTGAAGGGTTCCTGGAAGAGGTGAGTTCCCAAGGTTTGAAAAGGCAGAGATGACAGACAGGAGGTGGGAGGGGATTCTAGGCAAGGGATGTGTGATCCACTTGTTGTACAAGGTGTGCACTTAGCAGGAGGCTCCAGACTCCAGAGAGGAGATTTTTATCTTACCCATTGCAATTTTAACAGTGGAGCAGGGAAGGGTTTTGAGGCTGTTGAATTCAATGTAAGTTATGCCTGGCATCGAAACACATAGGACRATTACTCCCCCTCTCAGACATTGGTGGAGTTATGGGGCAATCTAAGTCCTCAGCTGAACAGTGTCAGAAAAGATCCACTTGTTTTTCACCTGCCTACATTTCCTTACCCTTAGGACTCCAGACCACACCACTTTCTTATTGGCTGCATTGGAGTTAGTGGCAAGACGAAGTGGGATGTGCTCGATGGGGTGGTTAGACGGCTGTTCAAAGTAAGTGTGGCAAGAAGGTAGCTATGGCAGTGTGCCTGGCACAGGGACCTGGGCTTGGGGAGGGAAAGGGAGGCCCCATCCTTAACTTGGCCATTTCTCCAGCCTGGCCCCACTCCACATCCTTACATTGCTGGGACTTGATCCCTGGCTGTCCAGGGAATGGAAGGGCTATGGTAAGTGCAGAYCGGTGGTTGGTGAAACTCTTTTCATCTGCCTTTGGCAGTGACTGGCCAGGTGGTGAGCATCATTTGTGCAGTGATTTGATCCTCTTATGGCAAACTGCTCATGTCTGAATTTTCTTTTTACCTGAGAATTGCCCTATTAAATATGCTCTGGAATACTTGATCTGTAGCTAGGATGAGATACCATTTCCACCTGTTACTTAAAGGGGTTGGGTTTGACTTGCCCATCAGATTCCTATGCCAATGCTTCAGAGTTTTTGATTTGTGCTGCAAATGGCAGGGACATCTGATTGAAGGCCAGCTTCAAGGATGTTGGCAAGTCACTTTTCTGTTGCTGTCAATTATCACTGGACTGGGTGTTTGCCACARAGGAAGTAGCTAATGAGTACCAAGGGGAACCCTTGAACATAGGTGATTGGAAAGAAGCTTTCAAGCCCTTTTTTCTGTTGTCCTGAAGTAAATCGACAGCCATCAATATTCATTGGTCCTATCCCTTTGGTAGTAATATGTTGTCTGTGTCAGATACCATGCCAAGCCCTTTATTCCCATTTAAGGTTAGAAGGGTGAGGCTTCTTAGGCCAGAGCACCTTCCTAAAGCCATGGATCTAGAACTGGACCAATGGTCTAGTCAGTTATTCTGATTTCCACATCTGACTCAACTAGTAGACCATTGTTTCTTTGTAGCATCTAGACTCAGGTGGCTTCACACAGAGAAAATTCTGTTCTTATTTTCTTTTCCCCCATTTTTTTTTAATTGGTGCATTACAGTTGTACATATTGATGGGCTTTATAATTACATATTTGTATATGCACACAATACAACAATATAATTTGGCCAATATCACTCCCTAGCAGAGAATTCTTTTCTTTGATCAAAGATTGTTCCCCATCTTGCAAGCCAGTCTGTGGAAGTGTGATCCAGCAAGAGACCTGAGTGGCTTAGGACAGGCAAATTCACCCACCCCAAACAAAACCTTACCTCTGCTGTAGAGTAGGCATCRTCCTTGGGTAGAAAGCAGCAGTGTGGGCTCAGGAGGAAAGGTGAGTCCTGGAGGCTGTTTCCTGGGACTCAGCTCAGCCATTTTGTGGCCACCCCAGCCCATGGGCCTGAGTTCCACATTCATTGACCTAAATCCTATTGGTCACCTACAAGGAAACACTTCAAATTAAACACACATTCTGCTTTTCAAAACTTCATGGCTGGTTTGTTTTTTTGTTTGTTTTTGTTTTGCCCTAGGTTTTATTTACCCTCTTTGTTATCGGCCTGGTCTTCACACTAGGCAACCGGAGGGGTTGGTGAAGAGATTTCCTGTCAGAATTACTTTGGCATGAATTTCCCAGCACCATCACAGCCCTGATACCTTTGAGACTTCAGCTGGACTTAGGAAGAGCAATTCAGCCTTTCTGTGCTTCGTTCCTCCAGACTAAACATTCACAGTGTCTTGAGGGGTCTGATTTCTTTCCCCAACCCCTAACCAAATAAATTTGTATTTTAAGAGGCCTGTGATACGAGGGCATTGTCCCCATAGAGTCACCTCTTCTCRTCCTCATTCCACAGCCCAATTTCAACTCAGTCGTCATCTGAGAAAGAAGAAGGAATGACCGTTAAATCACCCAACSAAAGCATGGGTCACAGGTAGATTTTCGCCATCTGTGATGGGGTCTGTTTTGTTTTCTCCAGGAATACATCATTCACGTTGACCCTGTGAGCCAGCTAGGGCTGAATTCGGACAGTGTTCTTGGCTACAGCATTGGGGAAATCCAGCGGAGCAGCACTTCTGAGACCCCAGAGCTCCTTCCCTGTGGCTACCTGGTGGGAGAGAACACCACCATCTCTGTGACGGTCAAAGGTAATGGAGCCCATTGCAGAGATTGGAGTTTTCAAGAATTGCATCTGAATTTTATGACGGTGTGAGAAATCTTGGCCATGGTTTTGTTTGAGCACACGTATATGGGTGGTTGCTCATTTCGTTCTTTTCTTCGGCCACAATTAGTCTTACCTAAGCAAGTTGAATAGTCTGGCTTTTTCAACCACCATCGGAAACAAATCATTTTAGTTTATTGCTGAAATTATGTATCAAAAGATCTCATTAGCCGCATGACTCTAAGGTGATAGAATCTTAATAACCCCATTGAAGTGGCGCCTGGCCAATAGCAGTGAAGGACTCTTGCCAGCAAGCCTTGGATGTGATCCCATTCTACAGAAACCACCATGTGCCGTAGGCTGCAGGGCAGTCGCTCTGAGCATCCTGATGAACTGTGAAACTCTTGCCCACGCCTGGTGCTGCTACAGCTTCCGATGCCTCATCACCCAGAATTGTTAAGCCCCAGGCCAAGTGTGTTCCACTGAACTTGGCTCCAAAGTTCTTCATGGGTTCATAAAAAATTTCACAGTCAAATAAATCTAGAAAACCTCAATGTTATTCCCACTTGAGTTTGGGGACTGAGGACAGAAGGACATCAGTCCACTAAAGATCTGTCTTTTAATGTCCTATTTCCTGTTAGTAAAAAGCCTGTTTAGACAGCCACAGTGGTGTACACACACAATCTCAGCTACTTAGGAGGCTGAGGCAGGAGTTTAGCCTGCAACTTGACCAGAACCCATTTCAAAATAAAAAGTCCAGCGTGTAGCTCAGTGGTATAGCATGTGTTACTCGTTTCTGTGGATTGGAAGAGAGGAAGTTTGTATAGTCCAATCTTTTCCAAATTTATTTGCCTGCAAAACTTATTCATTTCTGTGTTCCATGAACCACACAATAAGTAGACTCTGATAAGCCCTGTACAAGGCCTATCTTTCACTCGCAGCATGTCTTACTTCCCCAAAAGGCACTAATCTCTACTGTAGATTCAACACTACAATTTTGTAGTAGTTTCATAAAAGTTTTATTTTCTAGTAAGTATTTTCTCCAAAAGCACCCCAACATTCCCCACTAGCAGGAATCCAGATCCACCTCTGCTAGAGACAAGTGGTGCATGGTTGCTTAGGCCTCACCTAGCCTTGCTGATAAGTGCAATTCCCTATTGTGCCTTGAACTAYAAGTGACAGAAACCAACGCAAAAGTAGCTGTAGCATAAAAGGGAATGTATAAATTCAGATACCTGGGAAATTCAGGGTTATGCCTCAGGCACAGCTGGATCTAGATACTCAGTGTCCCCAGGACCAGACCTGCCTCTATGTGGTTCATCACTGATTGCTTTTGTTTAGCTGYCTGTACATGGTTGATGAAATAGCCCCTGATAACTTTGATTCATCTTTCTAGCATAGGAACCTAAAGGAAAGAAACATTTTTGGAAGTGTAACAGAAAATGTCTAGGACTAAACTCTGGCTCTCCATAAGTTAAATATCCGTCACTGAGTCAATCATTATGATAGGGTGAAGCTTTGGTCCAACCCAGTTACAAGCCTACCCTTTTGGGGGGACAGAGGGATGAATGAACTCCACTTGAACCACCTGGAATGAGTTAAGCTCCCTATGAGAAAGATTTTTTTWAAAAAATTTGTGGCACTAGGACTTGAATCCAGCATCCCTGGTCCTTTTTATTCTATATTTTGAGATGAGGTTTTATGCATGTTGCTGAACCTGGAGAACCTTGGCCTCCTGAGTTGCTGGGATTGCAGGTATGTGCCATCATGCCTGGACTGTGAGAAAGAATTCTTGTACAGAGAAGCAAGAAGAGATGCCAGGCACACCAAAACAATAACTGTCCATGACAAGAACCCTCTCAGAAGAGCCTTTCTGTCCTCTGCGTCTTGCCTTTCGCCCGGGCTGCCAGGCATTCTCACTTGGAGTGGTATCAGGGGAAGGGGGTGTGACTTGGCATATTCCAAAGTGACTGTGTCTGCAAGATAATCGCTGCCTGTGTGTTTTACTGCAGAAGAACAAAAAAGCAACATATATATACAGAAAGTGTTTGAGTGATATTTTCCTGTTGTTATTGTTTCTTTTATTGTCACTATTATTAAATTTGGACTAAAGGCTCTACCCACACACATCGAGGCTTGAGCCAGTGTAAGCTGTATTGAGCTCAGTGGTAGGAGGATCTTAGGCCTGTCCCCAGCAGATAGGCATTTGGGGACCTTCATCTTGGTCATTCTGGAGCAGTCGTTGCTTCCGGAGGTTACCCCTGGTTGGGGGAGGATTAGAAACCAGCATATAAACGAATTAGGGGTGTCTGCTTAGTGAGTAATTACATGCAAGGACATGCCATTATAAAACAAAATAAATTCCCTTCAGTTTACTTTTTCACTTACATATACTGGTTTCCTGACTGGTGGATCTTTTCTTGGGGATGGTATCATGAAACATTAAAGCCAACTTCCCSGGTTAATGAAGTTGTCCCAGAAAGCCAAGGGGAAAGATCAGTTCCGGCTTATCATTGGGGATCAGGGTTCTCAGATGCAGATTTCTGCCCAGGTAGGCTGGTATTCACATTCCAAACTCCATTAGCCCCACCTTGCATTGTTCCTTGTTTTCATGATAAAAATGCTGAGGCCTTCATGCTATATCCATCTGTGGGTGGCAGTGGTGATAGGCAGGAGAGGGCAGCAGGGAGAAGCAACCCCAAGGATATGGCAGACACAGGTGGAGGAGACTCAGGTGTAACTTGRGCAGATGCTGTAGATACAGCAGATCCAGACAGGTCAGCAGAGCCTGGAGTCTCAGCACCACAGAGGACAGATGAGGACTGAGGGCCTAGATATTAAGGTCAAGTCTAAAGCTGGGAAAGTCAGCCAAGATGGGAGCCAGAAGCACAAGGTGCTGTTGAAYAGGGAGGTGACTTCCYTGGGCAGCAGCAGTGTCCTGTGAGYTCCTAGTACATCTGGGGGAGCAGAAGTCTCAGATGAGTGGGCTGCCAAGAAAAGGGATCACATCACGTTTCCGAAAGCACAGAACATTACCCTTCCTACAAGCTTCTCTTCTCTCAAATGCAGGACTCGCAGAAAACAGCCTGGACTCCTTGGTGTTTGAGTCCCTGATCCCCAAGCCCATCCTGCAGCGCTACGTCTCCCTGCTCACAGAGCACCGGCGGATCATTCTCTCTGGGCCCAGTGGCACCGGGAAAACCTACCTGGCCAACCGGCTGTCGGAGTATGTGGTGCTTCGAGAGGGACGGGAATTGACCGATGGGGTCATCGCCACCTTTAATGTGGACCATAAGTCCAGCAAGGTGAGGAGGTCATTCTGAGCCTGCTGCATTTGAGGCCCTTTCAGAACTCATGAYACCACCAGCTTCATGAGGAGGAAAGAGGGCAGAATGGGGTAGGYAGACTGGGACTGGCAGAAGGGAAGCCTCTGACTCTGGTCCTTCCAGGCAGAGGCTCCCTGTTGGGTGAGTCGATCCCATTCACTTCTGATCCTCAGTGGTAGCAGTTCTCAAAATTGCCCCAGAAACACCCAGGTTGGTTCACCAAAAATTTATCATGAGCCTACTATGTGATAYTGTTTTTCCAAAATAAAACCTTTTGTGGGAAAACTACAGTAACACCAGTAATGATAATAAACAACTGCACACATTTATGGACTGCTCGCCCCATGAGCAGAGTCTTCCTCCTCACAGTAATACCTTCAAGGGAGTGGTTGTCACCGTCCCCATGTTACAGAGGAGGGAACAGAAGCTTAAGGCAGAYTCATCGTGTGCCTGAGACCACTCAGATGGTACTAAATAGTGGAACTTGAGCTCAAGTTGAAGTGCCAGATTCTTGAGCCCTGTGGGCAGCAAATATACTCCTTCCCACTCCATAGAGAGCAATGGGAACCTGTGTGGAAGGAGTCTGACCTAATCCCAGGCAAGGGCTGTGAAAGGCTTTCTCAGACCTGTCAAAGTTCATGCCGTGATGGATTGCTCACTCTGGCTGCCCTGTTGCAAAAGGGCCAGAGAATCAAAGATGAATCAGAAATGGCTCCCCTGCCTTATGACCACTTGGTATGCTTAAAAACACAGAGCCCTAGACCTCATGCTTTCCTAAGTGACCAGGTTGTGCAGGCCCAGGAAATCTGGGCCTTCCCATTCTTAAGTTCCCCAAGTGATTTCAGTATAAGGACAAGACAAAAGAAAGKGAAGCCTTCTGTGTGAATTAGAGAAGGAAGGCCCTGCAGCAGGTAACTGGGGAGCAAGCCCAGGCTGGGTTTCAGCTCTCACTTCCCCTCCCCTGGGCGGGGCCCTCTTSGTACACAGCATGCTGCAGGGCTGAGGGCTCTGAATCTCAGAAGCCAGGAGCCCTCTTCTTGACAGRTGCCTGAGGTCAAAAACATGAGAAGAAGAGGGGCTGCAAGAACTAGTAAAATGTTGAGCTTTTTCTACTGCCAGCAAAACCCCATTTAACTTGAAAGGGAGACCTGGTCTGGCTATGTGCTTGTAGGAGGTAGAAGAAAGTCACCCTGCTGAGCTAGACCAGCATCTAGGACAGGCTATTGTGGTGGAGACACTGGGTTAGGCACCTGAGTCTGAGCCCTCYCCACACCTTACCCTGGTGAAGTCTCAGGCGAGCTACCTGACTGACCTGCCTCATCACAGTACCTGCCTAATGGGGTTATTGAGCTACTAGATCTCATGTCTGCCCCAAGGGGTACCAGCTATTGTGATGATAATGTTATCAGGCAGCCATTCTGGGTTCTCTAGGGYATCCTTACCTCACCACCTCACCGTCTTCCCCCTGCCAGCCAGAGGCATTCCGTACCCAAGGCTCACTGGGCTGCAGTTCCGATCCCAGCTGTGCCAATATCCCACCCCTTCTTCAGGGTTTAGTTCAAAGCCTGAGCCCTCTACAAGGCCTTCCAGGATCCCCCATGCTTGTAGATTGTCTTCCCCTGTGCTGCTCATTGGGTCGGCCATAGCACTGATCAGTATCCTCCCATGTGTGGCTGGGCCTCTGCAGCACTGATGGACCCAAGGCTTCTGTGTGTACAGCTCTTCTGTGTGTACTTTGCTCACCCCCTGGCCACCTGGCATCCCCTGATGCCCTGTAGCAGACAGGTGCTCAGAGTGAGTTCACTAGGGTGGGAGAGGGGCTTCTGCCTGCACTGGCCTGGGTAAATGAGGTCCTGAGCTTGCACAGCCATTCACCAGCTTGCTTTCCTCTGCGTTCCGGATCTCTATAGGAACTGCGGCAGTACCTGTCCAACCTTGCCGATCAGTGCAACAGTGAGAACAATGCTGTGGACATGCCCCTCGTCATCATCCTGGACAACCTGCATCACGTCAGCTCTCTGGGCGAGATCTTCAATGGGCTGCTCAACTGCAAGTACCACAAATGGTAAAGGCCTGTTCTGGACTCCAGCATCCCTGAGCGAGTGTGCTGCTGTCTGCAGGTGGCCCAGGCCAGCAYGGCAGTGAGGCGATGTGTGCACATGGGGCAGGGAGGGGAGGTAGCTAGCCATCCATGTCCTGGGTGCACAGATGCCACAGGCTCCCATGAGCCCCTCATTCTCCAGCTGGCCTAGCTCACAAGCTTTCTCTTTCTGTTTTCCCACAGCCCTTACATCATTGGCACAATGAACCAGGCTACCTCTTCTACTCCCAACCTGCAGCTGCACCATAACTTCAGGTAAGTCATTACTTCCCTTGTCCAGTTGGACGATGAAATCACAAGGAAGGAAAGCAAGCCCACGTGAGGCAGGAGCCTTTTTTGGGTGTCTCTTATGCTGAGCATCTTGTTAAGTAGTTTCCCCAACTTAATTCATTTAATTCCTACTTTGGCCTCAAGTATTTACATTTGTCATTCTTAGTTCACAAATGGGCAAACTGAGGCTCAGAGAATTTAATGACTCACATGAAATCATGTAGCTGGTCAGTGGCAGAGCTGAAACTTAAACCTGGTTTAAGTTTCTCTGACCCTCWACCTGCTGGAGTAGTGTCCAGGAAGCAGCTGTGCAGGGGCTGTTGGCCCTTGGCCACTCCTGTGGGTTACCAGAGATGCCTCCCTCTGTCCCAAGTGAGCATTGGCAATGACAATCAAAGTTACGAATGACCCCACATAGCTGGGTCTGTGGTCCTTCACAGTCCTGCGTGAATTCCTGGTCGCTCGTCTCCCCCTCCCTGTTTGCCCCAGCACTCCTCGGTCTCTCTCCCAGCCAGGGTATGGGGACTGTTTGACTCTGTATGTGGGGTTGTGTGGCTGCTCATCTCAGCATCACTCAGCACCCTTCCCGCTGCCTGTACCTCCTCTGACTCGGCCTCACCCACCTGGGCCCTTAGATGAGGGTAAAAATTTGTTTCCTGGGCTGGGACCCCCGGCTCATCTTTGAGAGAGACTTATTAAAAGTGGTCTGGACTGTAACTATCAGAAAAATGTCAGCTACTCCAGGCCACCAAGAACAGGCTGCCCTCATTTTGTCATCCTGTCTGTGCTTTCTCTTGACTGTCCCTTGAGCCCATCCTCCCACCCACCCTAAGCTGCCTCTCCCAGCACAATGCTGCGGTCTCTTTCTAACCAGCATGCCTGCAGCCTGGCCCCCTGCAGGCCACCTTCTGCACCATGGCAGCCAGGGTGAGCCTTCCAGAATGCTCATCTGACCACAGGCCTGGACTTAAATTCTTTCAGTGGCTCCCTGTGGCCTTCAGAATGAGATCTCCTTACTATGGCAGGTCAAGCCTAAAACCAGGCTATACTGAGCCTCTGGCAGCAATTTGGAACATCCTAGGCCTTTCCGGTGCCTCTGCAAAGGCTGCCTCTCGCTCCCCACCTCCTACCTTGACACCCGCTCCTGCCTTTCCTCATGTTGCCGCCCCATCATCCCTTCCGTCCCAGCCCTTCCCTGATTCCTTGGTCTTCATCATGTCTCAGTTCTTCATTTGCTTGTCCACCTCCTCCCATCCCAGACTGCAAACTGCTGAAGGCCAGGGGCCATGTCAGAGACATTGTTAGAGCTCCATAACTTTACACAGAGCCTGGCACCGAGCCCAAGGGGCAGTCTCTCTCAGTGGCTAGAGCYCAGACTGCCTTGGTTCGGATCTTAGATCTTCTGTTAACTAGCTCTTGGATCCTGGACAAGTTATATAACTCAGCTTTGCTATCTATAAAATAGGCATGGCGATAATACTTATTTTGTAGGGTTGCCATTTATGGTGAATTCACATGGGCACTGTATCCGCCTATACACTTCCCATTCCTAATAAGCTTTTGATCTTGGGATTGGCCATCGTTTTACTCACTCTCATCATTGTTGATCCTGACTTCCCCTAGGTGGGTGCTTTGTGCCAACCACACAGAGCCCGTGAAGGGTTTCCTTGGCCGGTTCCTGAGGAGGAAGCTCATGGAAACGGAGATCAGTGGACGGGTGCGGAATGTGGAGCTGGTGAAAATCATTGACTGGATTCCTAAGGTCTGGCATCACCTCAACCGCTTCCTGGAGGCTCACAGCTCCTCAGACGTCACCATCGGTAGGTGGGAGGCTGGGCACAGGGTGCAAGCTGGCTGGCGGGCACTGCTCCGGGGCCCTGGGGGTCCTCTGGCTCCTGGCCCKGGCAGCACTCCACAGGATGTTGGGCAACACTGTCCTTCAGGATAAGGAAGTGGGCAGAGGGGCAATTGCAGACGGAGATGGACCCCAGACCCCAGTGATCAGCAGAGGAGAACTGTGTCCTACCCAGGCTGGTGGAGAAACRGCCAGCTCAGTGAAGAGCCCCCACCCCAAGTCTTCCCAGGCTGAGACTACTCTTGGGGATTGGCTTTGCTTTAAAAGTAAAGCCTTAACAGCATTTCTGCAGCTTAGGGATTTAGAACAGAGGAGAGAAGACCACCAATCATCTGCCACCCCGACATCATCATCTCAACGTGAGGCTATTTCCTCTGGCCTTGTCCATGTTCACTGGAGGTGCAATCACAGTGTRCATGTAGGCTGTCCCCCCTACACACACACTGTTGCCATGGGCCTTCTGTGTTGCTCTTCCATCTTAAAAATTATTTTTAAAAGCTGAAAAATAATCAAATGCAGGTGTTCCATTGTTTGTTCAACCATTTCTGTCTCTTGGACATGCAGTATTCTTCCATTCTTTAAAATCAGTATTAATAATACCAGAGAACATCTTCTCCATAAAGCCCCTCCTCTCCTCGTCCTTGATGGGTGCAGGAGGGAGTCAGCCAACAGCTGGTACTTCTGCCATCAGCCCAGCCAAGGATCAAAAAACCCCGCATCTGCTCTGAGGGGTGCTTGCTCTGATATATTTTCATTGTGGTCCCTAGGCCCCCGGCTCTTCCTGTCATGCCCCATCGATGTGGACGGCTCACGGGTGTGGTTCACCGACCTGTGGAACTACTCCATTATCCCCTATCTCCTGGAAGCAGTGAGAGAAGGACTCCAGGTGAGAAGCACACCACCTTCTCCCCCTCAGAGTTGAGGAGGACTATCCTGGCAACCCAATGAGTTGGTCTTATCTTTTCCTTTAAGAATCTGACTGACATGAGGTGACCAGCCCTCACCTGTGTAGCCATAAGTCTAGCACAATGTAGAAACGATTGGTTGCAAGTCCTGGTCCAGCCACTTACTGGCTGTGTGACCCCAGGCAAGTCATTTACCTTCTCTGTGCCTTTGTGCCCTCATCCATAGGAGAGAATGATAATAGTATTTTTGTCACAAAGAGTTTATGCAAAGATTAAATGGAATCATGGCCATAAAGTGTTCAGCATGGTTAGTGCACAAGGAGTGGAATTGTACATGTATGCAGCACTTCATAGTTTGCCAAATATTCTCATATCTGCAAGCCCTGGACTAGTACTGAGATTTTTTTTTTTTTTTTGTCTCTGGTTGAAGGATCTGGAATTTGAGTCTATGCCTTCTGAGCTAAATTCCAGGCTGACTAGCTCTTGGGCCCCAAGGTACTTACTATCTGGCATCAGGATAAGGCTACAAGTCCCTCCTGCCCAGTAGCAGTTAGAAAGCACAAACTCTTTACTGCTCTCTCAGTGCAGGGCTTAAGTGGGAGCATACTATTTCATTGCAGCTTGGGGTGGTTTGTTTGCTGAGCCTAGAGGCAGCCTGAACAATTTCGGGGCTCCCGGCACCCAAAGTGAGTATTTAGCAGGYATCTGCACAGCTGACTCATCCAGCAGCCAGCTCTGCCCCAGGGCATCTTTGTTTCCTAGGCACCTGGCAGGGGAGATACAAGATACAAGACAGTGCTGCAGGCTCTGGAGGCCCGAGGAGCAGTGTGTCCCCCTATGCATGTGTGTGACAGTATAAGTTAGTAGTTCCCGCCAGTGTTTGTCCTTTGGGTACATTTGGGTAAACTTGGGGGGTATTCGACTGCTTTKTATGAAATATCGTGTAGCAGCGAAAGCTCAGAGGTACTCGGGACAAAAAGAACTTGGAGAGGAAGCTCTTGTGCTGCTTGTGATTGGTATTTGATTGAACTGGAACACGTGTGCTGCACAGTCAAGCCACCGTGCTGAGATATAAGTACCCTGTGAAGGCAGAGAGAAGCAAGAAAGTGGGCAGGCTTTGGCCAGCCCCAATTCATTGGCTAAGTGCTCTGTCAAATATTGCTTTCATAACAGGAAGCATGACAATCTCAGATCTTTGCCGTGGAATCTCCCTAGGTAGATTTGCCATCTTGGGTAGATTGGCCATAACTGAGTCTCTTATCAGATGGGTTTGTTAGTTCCACAAACCCAAACAGCCACCCCATGACTCCTATCAGTCCATGGAAATGCTTCCTACTGACTGGGTTTCTGCAGTCTATTTAGAAACCTCTCTCCTCTGTTCCTGAGCAGTGGCTTCCAGGGACCGCAGTATACGTGATTCCTTGCAAAACCCAAATTGCAGCAGGGGAGGGGCAACCTTGGCTTCCATTTCCACCTCCCCTCTAAGTTCTCCTGCTTGTTGCTTCTTTACATCCAGTGCATCTTCTGAGGAGAGGAGTGACAGCCGAATCCTCTGAAGAGCTCAGCAAATTCTGTGGAGTAAAGGCTTCCCTTGCCCAAGGAGGCATGAACTGCAGGGGAGCCCATCTCCACTCCAGCCTTGAGCTGCAGCAGTTGGTGATGTCAAGGCCCTTCTTTGGGCCTAAACTTAAAAGAAGGCTTTTGGGGCACAGCTGTGGAGGTGGGCTCAGGACTCCCCTTCTGTTCTAGGCAAGGTTGCTAGTGGGGTATATTCTAGAGGAGCACTGGGTCTCTTTCCTACCAAAAGCAAGTGAGGCCACAGGTAGAAGGGACTTAGAGATAGCTGCAGAACTACCTGTCCAACAGCCACATCAGTGTTTATAGCAGCACAGTCCTCAGTAGCTAAACTGAGGAGCCAACCTAGATGCCCTTCAGTGGATGAATGGATTGAAAAAATGTGGTATATAAACACAATGGAATTTTACTGAGCAATAAAAGAGAATAAAATCATGGCATTTGCAGGTAAATGGATGACGTTGGAGAAGATAATGCTAAGTGAAGTTAGCCAATTCCAAAAAAACAAATGCTGAATGTTTTCTCTGATATAATGAGGCTGACTCATAGTGGGGTAGGGAGGGGGAACATGGGAGGAATAGATGAATTCTAGATAGGGCAGAAGGGGTGGGAGGGAAAGGGAGAGGGAGCAGGAGATTAGCAAGGATGGTGGAATTTGATCGACATCATTATCCAAAGTACATGAAAGAAGACACGAATTGGGTAGCAACCTACTTTATATACAAACAGATATGAAAAATTGTGGTATATATGTGTAATAAGAATTGTAATTAAAAAAAAAAAAACAGTTCCTTGTAAGGCTGGAAAAGTCATCATTTTCTTGGGCGGTGAGGTCATATGAAGGCCAGTCCTCCAAGAGTATAAGGAGCAGTGAAGGGAGGCAGCCAGAGTTAGCAGTCTACCAGCTGCCTCAAAAGCAAGCCCCCCGCCCATGTCCTAAACCAGGGGCCTCTTTATCATGCTGAATCCAGGGTACCTTATAGAAACTGCTAATTCACAAAGGAAATTCTGTATTCTTTGTGCCTCTGGTTTTGAAGGAAAGCTTGCCGATATTCACGAGAGACTGCTTATAGACAAACCAAGGCTTGCAGAAGTTCCCAAATCTCACCAAACTCACTCAGTGGGGTGTGATAGAGTAAGCACTGGAGCAAGGACTGTCTGAATTCTTGTACACATCCTGCATGGGCGAGGGAAAGGGTTCCCATTGGGAGGGAGGGGCTGACTGAGGAATAAAAGCTAAGGAAACAGTACTAGAAAATAACCACAGGACACCAGATATATGGTTTCAGAGCTAGGGCAGCAACAGGCCAAGTTGACCAGAGGGATGCAGCTTCTAATGAAGAAAGGAGCCCGCCCCTGGTTTATTTGTGTCAGAACAGATCAAAAGGATTTGATAGAAAGTTCTTTGCAAAAACAGKATAGAGATGGGGGCAGGTAGGCTGCTCCGTTTTTAACAGGTCATGTCCACCTCGGGTACTGTGGGGGACCTTTTGGCAGAGCTGGGTGGGAGTTCACATGTATTAGGGTGTCCCAAAATCAGCAGGGGTGCTGCTAGGAGTTCCCAGATACCGGATCTTCACACTCAGTGGTTTCCATGCCATTCTAGTCCATGCACATTTCACTTCCTACACTGAATATTCTGGATACTTCCAAGCTTTTTCAGGCTGTCCTGGGCATCCCGTATCTCTACCAGGAAGCTTCAGATAGCTCACGAGCAAAGTGTTATGTTTTATATAGCAGAGTTCTGCATGCAATTTTATTTGAYGAAAGGATTCCATTATCTTAAAAAATAATTGTAAGCAGGGCACAGTGAAGCATGCCTGTAATCYAAGTGGCTTGAGGGGCTAAGGCAAGAGAATCATGAGTTCAAAGCCAACCTCAACAAAAGCAAGGCACTGAGCAACTYAATTAGACCCTGTCTCTAAATAAAATATAAAATAGGCCTGGGGGTATGGCTCAGTGGTCAAGTGCCTGGTACTCAGTGGTCAAGTATCCCTGGTACCCACCAAAAAATAATAATTGTAAGTTCCCCTCTTCTTGGTGTCCTCTGAGCCCATGTGTGCTGGGCATTATACAGAGTCATTTGCTCCTCATGTAACCTAGCCTCATGGCCAGGAAGTGGCTAAGGTTATAAGCTGAGAGGTGGAGTCCATAGAATAGGTTCTGATGGGGTTGCCACCCACTGTGAGCCAGGAAAGGGAGCTGCACATGATGGCAGGATTAGTGGCACTGGGGTCATGGGGAAACTGTCCCTGCTGTAACTGAACCTCACCAWCCCCTTACAGACAGCCTCACTAACAGGCACATCCATGCCAGGAGATAATGTTGTATCGCCCCCTAGTGGACACCAGTGCCCCCATGTGCTTCTAGGAGCCCTATGCATCCTACAGGGCCAGAGGAGCCCGGGTTTTACTTGACACTGTCTTAGCTCCCTGTTCCCATTCTTTCTGACCCAGTGGGGATACCAGGCTCCTTCTCTGCCTTGGGGAAGGTGATTGTTCTGTCTCTCTGTCTGTCCAACTGTCTCTGCCACTGCCCTTAGGGCTCTGCAGTGGAGCCAAGGAGCTTTATGATAGTTCCTTTGCTTGCCACAGTACTCATTCAGCCATTCATCACCTGCTGGACTTGAACATGTCCAGCAGTAAGTAGGGAGGCTTATAAAAATATTTTCTTTTCTTACAGATGATATTAGCTGCACCTAATGTGCATTTGTCTTATGACTCAGCCCCAGTCCTGTTCCCCTTTGGATCAGTCACTGGAGATATTGCCAAAGTTCTCTACAGTTTATAGAGCAACTCGAGAGACTCAGTGCCCAGGGCAGGACAGGTGGCAGAGGGACCCGTGGAGGGGCAAGCATGGGGCTATTTGTCAATTGCCAAGCCTGCTGTGAGACCCTGGGCCGTTGCCTGTTTGGGGGCCTCAGCTTCCCCATCTGTCAATTACAAGTTGGGTTAGAAGACTTTTCAGTCTGGTTTCTGTGAGACCCAGGGGTTTCTCAAACCACTCAGTGGAGGGGGGGGTCAGGAATAAAGAGCAAATATATGAAAATTGCTGGGCCAGATGACCTCTAGGACTTCCTGAGCTGCGTCCTTTGAGATTCTGCAGCTTTGAGCATCTCCTCGTGTGGCCAAGGGAGAAACAGAGCAGTAGCTATCAGAAAAGAGAGGTCAGTTTAGCCTCACACATGTGAAGTGTAGCTTGGGACAGTTCCATTAGGGAGTTCTTGGATGGAGAAATTTCTAGAAACTGCAGGATGTTTCTAATCTGGAACAGCCACCTTGGGCTGTAAATATCCCTAACTGCTTCTGTTTTCTCTTTTGTCCTGACACGTATGTGTATGCACACGTATCCCTCCCCATAATCCCCTCCTACTCAGACTATGAATTGCCTAAAGACTAAATTCCCSTGCTTGAGACTCAACCTTGCTCCAGGTTGAGGAAGACATGGCAACAGACAGAACACTAGACGGGAGGTGCCTACAGCACAGACATTATGTCTAGACAGCAGTGAGGTCATAGGAGGCTCTAGGTACTCTGAGTACAGAAAGAGGCAACACTAACACAGAGATGAGCCTGTCCAAGATGGGACAGAGCTGTGGCATCTTGGACAGAAGTCTGAGGTGGCTCAAGTGATGGTGGGAGTGGGCCTTGCTAGAGGGACATGAGCCCTGCTCAGGCTGATGTGCTGACATCTGCTGCACAGCTCAGTCTCACTTCAGGTCTGTCTAGGCACATGGCTCTTGCTGATGCACAGGAGTTCAAAGCAGAATCAGTCAATTGAGGTGGAAAGGGAATGACCCAGACAAGGGAACTGAGTCCCAGGTTCAGTTCCATCACCTCTCTATGACCTTCTATGATTGGCTCTACTCTTTAGGCCCCAATTTCCCCAGCTGGTAAATGGGGGTGGGGCTGGATGGCCCAGCACCTTCCAGCAAAGCAGCCTATGACTCAATTGTGGGTTTTTGAGTTCACAGCCCAACTCTGTTCTGCTCTCAGCACCTGGCTGGCTGAGCACCTCTTTCCAGCTGCACATTCAGTGACATGTTGCTATTTTGAAATTGGCCCCCTGGTGGGAGTATTTACACCATGGAAACAGGCAAATACTGCAAATCAGGCTGTTTTTCTCCCTAGTGCCAGTTTTCCAAGTTGGACCAACAAGGCCTAGAGGTGAGGGTTGCCCAGTGAGTCAGCAGCAGAGCTGAGAATAAGCACCGGTCAGACTGATTCCAGTGCCTGTGCTCTTGACCACTAGGTCCTGCTACCCTTCAAGCTACTCACATCTTAGATAGCTTCCCTAGTTTGGAATTCTGGGAGTGGCATAATGCTGGGTGTGGGAGTTTTTTTCAGAAAGCTGTGGAATTGGGATTGCCAATGAGGTCTCAGCCCATGTCCAGACTGATCCTTCTTTGCCTATTTCCAGCTCTACGGAAGGCGTGCCCCCTGGGAGGATCCTGCCAAGTGGGTGATGGACACCTACCCATGGGCAGCCAGCCCACAGCAGCATGAATGGCCTCCCCTGCTGCAGCTACGGCCTGAGGATGTCGGCTTTGACGGCTACTCCATGCCTCGCGAAGGGTCCACAAGCAAGCAGGTGCCCCCCAGTGATGCTGAAGGAGACCCACTGGTGCGTTTCAGCTCCCTACAGCTCAGAATTCAGAGTACTTAGCTTATGGTGGGCGTAATTCAAGGCACCCTGGAAATGTGAAGGCAACTAGGCCTGGCCTTGCTTTGAGGGCTGGGCCCACCCCAAGATTAGGGACAGTTTTGCCAACATTTTGTTCTGTGGTTTTAGGTTTTCATTAAAGCCTTTAACCCCCCTGAAACTTTTTTAGCATAAAGTAAAATGTTAACAGTTTGATTTCTTTTTTTCCCCTCTAAATGACCCTACACCTATTGTCACTACTGTACTGTTCTCACTCTGATTTGAGATGCCACCATTATCACGTATTATCTTGTTCCTCTGATGTCTCCCACTGAAAACTGAGCAGAGGAAGAGCATGCTAAGGACCCAGAAACTAAGCCAAACAATGAGGAGCCTAGGCAGGGGAGGTTTGAGGACAGGAAGGATTCACAGAGGGCACAGGGGCCTGAACATGGGTCCCCTGGCTGATGAGATGAGCTTTGAGCATTGTATTTACTCTTGTTATTGCTGAAGTCTTTCAGAAGTACCTACACCAGTGATGGTAACACCTCTAAACAATTCTGTATTCTCTACCAATGTAGGGCTCATGCATGGTTTCACTGCTAAATTAGACCTAGCCAACCAAAAGCCCTTTATATCAAGGAGGAAGCAAACATACCAAAACCTCCCACAGTTAAATGACTATTGTTATGCCTAAAATTTAGCTCCAAGCTTCTCTGGCAGCAATGGCAAAAAGAAAAAACACAGCAGAGATTATTACTTGCATTACCTAATGAAAGAAAATCATGAGTTACAACAGGATTAAAAGACAACTGATTCACTGTGCTGTCCTTACTGCCCATTTGACTTGCCAGATAAAATAAAAATAGTAATAATAGGATTGGGGCTATACCTTGGTGGTAGAGTGCTTGCCTAGCATGCACAAGGATCCCTGTCCTGAAAAAACATATATGATAATAATGATAGTGATTTGTGTTGTCTGCCATCCATGTCTACAATGTAGGGGTGATCCCATTGATTTAAACAGGAACTATATTTAAAGGAGTCGGTGTTTGTTGTTTCTATGTATAACCTAGTTAAACAATGGCTTTCTGAAGGAAACAAGCATACTTGAACAGCCATTTGTAACGTAACCACTGCCGAAGGCCAAGGTCATAGTGGTATTTTTGAGGTGTTAACTGCCTGGCATCTTAACCAAAAAACAGGATTTAGGGTCAGAGACAATGGCACATACCTGTAATCCCAGCAACTCAGGAGGCGGAGGCAGGAAGATTGCAAGTATGAGGCTAGCCTTAGCAACTTAGTGAGAGCCTGTCYCAAAAGTTAAAGGATTGGGGAGGGGCATATAGCTCAATGGTAGAGCTCTTGCCTCCAATTCGAAGTGCAATCCCTCGTATATGTATATACCACCCCCCCCCACACACACACACACACACAAGCACTCACACAATTTAGGCTAACTAGAGGAAATAATGGCTAGCTCACCCCCCCCCCCCCAGTTTTTCTTAGCGGGGGACATTTGTATCACCGACTGAACTCAGGAGGCTCCGAGGTAAGACCTGGGTTTCTCAGAACAGTCATGCAGAATCCTGTCTCCAACTCCGGGACCTTGGGAGCTGTGTCAGTCCAGCCACCACCACTTACCAAAGTAGATATCTGGTATTTCTCCCCAGTCCCATTCTCACTGCCCAGGGCTGTGGGTCTCTGTGATGATAGCTTTCCTGCTTCCTCGTGCTCTCCCTCATGAGACTGGGAACTCCATAAGCATGAACTAACTTACTTTTATTCCAGAACCGTATGCCGTGGTAACACCAGGAATGTTTGACAAATGAGTAGCGAATCCCAGCTGCCACTGGCTGGCTGTTGTGACAGCTCCACCTCTCCTCTGGTTATAGCTCTGCAGACAGACACCAACTGATGGTGCCAGTGGCCTGGCTCCCCAGGGAAGCTGCACAGCATCCTGAGAGGGAACTGGCTTTCACCCAGCACACCTGGCCTTAGCCCAGAGATGCCCTGTCTCCTAACTTAATCGCTCTGTGAAGTATAGAGCACATAAATTATAGTTATAAGTAAAATAAAAGTTTCTGATTCCCCCTCTCCATTATCCAGGGGTCAATAGAATGTAGAGCAGGGAGAATTTATAAGATAAAGCAGGGAGGATATATAAGCTCCTCCCCTTCGTTTRGGTAAAGATGCCACAGATCAAATCCGTGATCACTTGCTGCATGCCTGGACAGCCCATTCCTAAGGGGTTCATACATGTGTCATTCCTTGCTTTGGCCCTCTGAGGTAGGTGCTGCTGTACCTGCCACAGCAGATGGATGAGGGTGGGGTGGCTCAGGCACTTTATTGACTCAAGGTTCCTGCAGCATGCTCCATGCCTCCACTATCTGGGGCTCTGCTCATAGCTGGCCTCACCCCTGTGCCCTGCAGAGGGGTGGCTGGAGCACAGCTGGTTCCAGGCTAACTTTATCCAGAGTTCAGAATAGGCTTTCGGTCCCATCAGAGGGAGTGGGATGGGGCATGCATTTTAGATGTCAGTGATGCTACTGTGCATTTCAAGAGCAAGGGTACTGGAATGGCATCTTGGCCCTGGCCGTGCGCTATGCCTGGTAAGGCATGCCTCTCCCAAATAAAAATATATAAACGTGATCTTATAGAGGACCTTGTATTTTGTTTTCATTGTTCTGCATACTCTACATACTCAATGGGTACCATAACATTATAGAGCAGGTACTGTTATACACACATCTGACCAATAAAGAAATAGGCACCAAAAGGTTAAGTAACTTACCCAAAGTCATGTAGCTAGTCAGGGCAGAAGCTGGGAGTTGAACGTGGAAGCCTGGCCCAGACTCCATGCTCTTGTCCACAGCTTCTGTTGTGAGCTGCGGTCAGGGTGAGTCCAGAGGAGATGGCGTGAGCTTCCCAGAGGCCGGGTGGGCAGCTGACTAGGCCAACAGCTGCTCACACCTCTCTGCTGTCTCCCCAGATGAACATGCTGATGAGGCTGCAGGAGGCAGCCAACTACTCCAGTCCACAGAGCTACGACAGCGACTCCAACAGCAACAGCCATCATGATGACATCCTAGATTCGTCCTTGGAGTCCACTCTGTGACAGGGGTCCAGCCTGAAGCCAGCTCTCCTCCTCAACCCATCCTCCTGCATCCTCCATGTCATCCTGAAGATAACTTCCTGAGCCAGCCCCCCGGCCGCAGCTGTGAGCTGCAGAAATACTGAGACCCTTCGACCCTCAGCCTCGACCTGGGTGCAAGCATCCCAGGCCAGCCGCCTGGGATCACTTCCTTCCATGGTGAGAACTGCACTACCTTCTGTCGTACTCTAATTCTTGTTTTGCCTTGTTGCTGTGACCTCCCTAAGACACTGAAGATGCTTCTCGGGAAAGGATTGTCACCGTTGAAATGAAAAGTTTTCAGAAGAACCCACTGGAAGCTCTGAAACCAAACAGCATCCTGCCACGAGCTGCCCAGAGACAGAAGAGACTGGAACAAAGTTGGAAATGTAGATAGCAGGGCTTCTCCTCAGCACAGGCCCTCCAGATTGGGTCTCGCCGCCCGTGCCACAGCCGCACCCACCTGCCCTCCCATCCAGCCCGCCACAGAAGAACTAACTGGTGCTAAATGGGGCACTTGCTTTGGTCACCCTCAAAACACTGCAGAGCTCTGGCATAGGGAACCCTTAGGAGAAAACGCGTGCTTTTCTGYTTTTAAATGGTGCTCTCCTTCCCTGAGAGGTATTTTGCCTGTTACAATTCAGCCCTCCACTTTGGGTCCATCAGCCCCCAATTGTCTGCAAGAGTGAGTGAGGGAGCGAGAATGTGAACCAGCAGGTGTGGCTGTAAATGCAGAACCGCATGTGTCTGTTTCCTTTCCGATATCTAATGAATCAGGTTTGTTGGGTTTTTGTTCTGTTTTGTTTTGTTTCCTGCAAACACTGTGTATACGTGAGAATTGCTCTATTTTGGAGAACGGGCAACCCCTCTAAAATGAGGATGAATCTCTCCCTTTCCAACTCATTCCTTTTGAAGATTTTTCTCCCTCCCTCTGGGTCAGAATCAATCCTTTGGTGACAGGACAAGCCCCGGGGGTTGAGTTTTGGTTGGTCCCGCTGGGTTTGGGTTTTTAGTTGTCCATCTTCACAGTTCCACACGCTCCCCTCCTCCTGCTGCAGCTGGCGGTACCGTGTCCTTGAAGATGGACGAGGACCGGTCCTCCTCGTGTGGGGCGAGCCTTGGACCTTGCCTTCCCTTTTCGTCTTTGGGGKTTGAAGATGTGCTTCAACGCCTCGAGCACCCGGCCCCAGCCCAGCTGGGGTGGGGAGGTCACCTCACAGAAGACTTGCACTTTCCTCAGAACCAACTTGGTGCGGCTCAGCCAGGGCGGGGCGGCCACTGCCTCCCAGGAGCCCAGCCCCATCCTCCGCCCGGCGGAGCCGTGCCTGACCTCTCGGTGCTGCCCTTCCCAAAGTGATGCCTTACTGGGTTTGTACTAACCGAGTTCATTCACCTGAGTGTCGTGTCGTGCCTGCCTGGGGTTTTTGTTTGGTTTTGATTTCCCCATCAAAGCAAACAGGGCTATGAAGTCATGTGTTCGTTAGGAGAACTCAACTCGCTGTGACGTTTCTCATCTAAAAGACTCATCTGTGTGGATGCTTGACCATGGGAAAAAGAAAATAAAAATCATCCATTTTTTAGGTTCATTGTCAGTCTCCAGCTGACAACCTGGCTGGACGGTGCTCTGCTCCTGCAGGAAAAGGCAAGAGTTCCCACCAGTCCACACGGCGTTGCTGGCACACGCCCTGAGAGACCCAGCCTGCCACCTCTTCGGCGCACTGGGATTTTCTTTGAGTGTAGTGTATCTTTCAGGTTTTTTTGGTTTGTTTGTTTTATTGAAGAAAATCTTTATCAGGCCTCAGCGAGGGCATCCTTGTTAATGATCAGGGTTTTTATTCCATCTTTTACATTTCTCTTTCCGAAAGTTTGTTTTTTTTTTTAGTTTCTTGACCCGAAACTGCTCACATCACTTGGAATGACACCATCTTCTTCCTCTTTGAAAGGACTGTGCCCCACTAACTGGTGAATAGAAAACCTTTCAACTCTGTGCTTCAGTCCCAGTTAAACTCAGACTCTGTTCTGCTCAGCCTTCGTTAGTCATCTGGATGTTAGTGTGTCTTGTTGTTTTTTGTTTGGGGTAAGATTTTGAATCCGTATGTTTAGCCTGTGTCCAGGGGGCCCAACCCTCAGCCTTCCAGTAAACCTGAAGGGTGGCCCTTCTCAGACGATTTATCTCCCAGCAATGACCTTATACTCTCATACTGTGAATTTGGGAGGAGGTTAACTTGACCTTCTCGTGGGCAGTTTTCCCAGTCACCCTGTGAGTAGACACCTGCCAATACTGTTAGAAACATTTTTGTCTTCAGTGACATCCTCTCTTCTCCCCCCCCCCCCCCCCCCCCCCCCCGTCCTAGACTTCCCTCCCACTGGGTCCAGGCTCAAAACCAAGACCTCTGTGCCTGGTGCTGCCTAATGAGTGAGCAGTGATTCCATGTAGCGAACCCTTGTGTGATTCACAACTCAGTGTCCTTCCTAACATTGTGGGAAGCAGGGTTGTCTAATATGCACCGTTCTTATTTTGGCCATATTTTTACATCRGTGTCACTCACCTTTGACAAAGTGACTTTGTACTCATTTAGGGCTCTGTCTAAAATGCTTCCATTTTGCCTTTTTCTACAGTTAGGCTAATTTTGAAATGTATGAAATTCTATGCAACATTTATGTTGAGTTACCAATGGAAGCCAAAAGTTTTCTTCCCAAACTGCCAAGAATTATACAGGCCATAAATGAGATGGGAATAAACMTTTTAATTTAAGGTTGGGAATGGGGTGGGGTGGGACAAGGAACAAGACTTGCCTAGACTCTTGTCTTATCCTGGGGACATTTTAAATTTTATTGTTTAATGCTTAAACTTCAAAATTCTGTGTATTCAAATTTGATTGTGGTGAAATCTATTTCAAAAGGAAAAAATAATAATCCAACTTTGTGGATATTCAACGGAAGGTTTGCTGTTTTGACCTAATTGTTTCCAGTGGAGCAGTTTATGAAATATGTTCTATAAGATGTACATTTTTTCATTGTAACATAGAAATTGTAAATAATTGATTAAAGTGCTGCATTTTGATGAATTTTTTCTAGCCATTTTTAAAGAGAAAACTAGGAATTGAGTATTTTGTGTACGGTTTGTTTCCACCCTCCCTTCCCTCCTCTTTCCCCCCTCCCTATTTAATTTTCATTTGTCATGAGGTTTTTGGATTTGCCAATGATCTGCTGGAGATCATGCCCCACGTCATAGAGAATAAAGCTGATGATTGTACCAGTCTTAAATTATTCATGATTCAATAAAATTGATGCTTATTTATTCAGATTAGTGGTTTGGCTCATCTGTGCTAGAGCAAGATCTCCTTGGAGTTCAACTTCATGCCAAGAGCAAGTCRATCTTCTCTGGAGGCAGCAAACACAGGGAAAATCCAAAACATTGATTTGCAAGCCCATCTTTGCCAGGATGTTATCATCATACCATCTCTTTTCAATTTTTCAATGAAGTTATCACAGCTCACGTGGCACTTGTTAGAAATGCAGAGTTCAAATCCTGTCAGTCCTTATGAATAAGGAGGATCTTGTAGAAATATGGGTGCTGATTCAGAAGGTCCAACGGCACCCTCAAGATTCTCAATTTCTTTTCTATTTTTTTCATTCAAAATTTTTTTAATTATGCATGTTTATGCAGCATGCTACTTTGCTACATGTATACAAAGGTGTATGATCAAATCAGGATGATGAGCATTTGTCTCTTTAAACCTTGACCATTCTTTTTGCACTGGGAAACTTCAAACTATTCCAGTTCTTTTTAAAACACACATTAAATTGTAAGCTAGTCACTCYGCTGTGTTGTAGAACACTAGAACTTACTCCACCTAAATGTGTTGGTAATTGTTAATCTCACCTTCCTCTACCCCTCCTCCCTGTTCCTCGTCCCAGGCCCCTAGTAATTACTAGTATGCGCTCTTCAACTCTGAGATCAACTTTTTATCTTCTACATATAAGTGAAAACATGCAGTATCTGTCTTCCTGGGCCTGGCTTGACTCTCTTAACATAATTTCCTCCAGTCCCACCTGTCTTGCTGCAAATGCCAGACTCTCCTCCTTTATGGCCCAAGAGCACTCCATCACGTGTTCCTTATCCATTCATTGTCAAGAGACTCTATATCCTAGCTATTATGAATAGTGCTGTGGTAATTATGGGCATACAAGTATCTCTTTGGAATACTGATTTCATTTCCTTTGGATGTACACATCCATTAGTGGAATTGCTGGATCACATGGTAGTGTATTTTTAATTGTTAAGGAACCTCCATACTGTTTCCCATAGTAGCTGCACTAATTCACATTTCAACCAACAGTACATAAGAATTCTCTTTCTTCACCTCCTTGCCAGCATTTGCTATTTTTTGTCCTTTGGATTATAGCCATCCTACCTGGGATGAGATGCTATATCAGATTTTCAACTTCTAACATTCCTGGGGGTGTTAGTGCTCCCAGGACCATACTCAGAGGAGCATGTAATGTCARTATCCATCTGGCCCCCACTTGACCCCTTAGTATGAGAGAGATTTTTTTTTTTTAATGCACTGAGTACCTACTAATTGCCAAATGTTTTCCAAATACTCCAAAATAATTTGCAAAATGACCTTGGGGAGGTTTTCTTACTCTCGTTTTACAAATGATAAAAACAGACTCAGGACTTGACAAGAAACCTGTAGGTAAAAGGTGAGAGGACTGGAACCAGCCCYACCTTCTGGTGCCAAATCCTGCCTCAACAGGCTGTCTTGGGGGCCTCTTCCACATTGCAGTGGTCATCCACAGCAGACACATTTGGTGGGAGATGACATCATACCTTAGCGTTCACTTTTAAGAGCAACAACAAAAATTTTAAAGGCCCGGTTGGAAGCAGAGTCGTGTGAACTCACCGTGAAATCAATCCTATATAGCTGGTTCGACTGCTGACGACATGGAATGTCTAACCCATTATGCTCGATGATGACCCAGCCAGTGGGGATACAAAGAATCCAGATGTTTAGCATGGGCAGTTTTTAACGTTTATCCAAAAAAAGAAAAAGAAAATAGTGATTGGAAGATGGTACCTGGTTTGGCAATGAGATGTCTTGAATTTCAAGATTTTCCATGTCAAATATGTGATAGCATTGCAACACAATAAAATCTGCTGTTTCCTGGGAAAGGGGACCATCATACAAGTGTATGGTGGGCCAGATGACTTTAAATAGAAGGGAAGGACRAGAACTTGCCAGACATTGTACTGTAAGTTTCACTTTATCACATGCAATCACAACACCTGT